GGGGGGGGGGGCATATTCAAAAATTTTTCGTCCAATATAAACAATGCTTCCGATTTTTTCACCGCAAATGTAACGGAAGCTTAAAATTGCGAATCATTTCATTTATTTTAACATCTTCGGTTCCATTTTGACCAACTATCAGTTCCATTTTGACCAACTTTGACCAAGGTTTGAATTATTGGGGGGGTGTTACACCCCCCCCCCACACACCCCCTATAGCGACGTCCCTGCCCTTCACAAGTAAAGTCTGGTGTATTTGGATTAAACTGTTATTTCTCTGCTGAAACTGAGGTCAATATGTTTTATTTCAAGGTGGCTTCATATTGAAACAATGTTTGCTGTTGCGCAGAAGAAGAATGTTTTTATTTACGACAATACCGGACTGGAGTTGCACTGTTTGAAACAACACGAGGGTGTGAATCGCTTGGATTTTCTTCCTTATCATTTCTTGTTAACAACAGTGGTGAGTATTAAATAAGAGTATGTGGATCTGTTGTCAGTTGGGCAATTTCCATAAATTTTCCTCCCCGCACATAATTGTTTCCACCCATACCTGTATGCAAAATTGTATGAACATCTAACATTCTAACCAACGGAAAACCTTGCGTACCGTTTAGGGTCAGAGAGGTTTCTTAAAATATCAAGATGTCTCGACTGGTAAATTGGTATCAAAGATACGCACAGGGCTCGGACCATGTGACTGCATGGCTCAAAATCCATACAACGCCATTGTGCATCTCGGTCACTGCAGAGGTATGGTAAATTAACACTGTATTTTACTTCTTTTGAAAAATTCAGAAGGCATTCAGAGGCCAGTTGTATGATCATGGTCAGATATAGTGCTATCCCCTTGATAGTGATTTTTTCAACCTTTTTAAAAGATGCTAGAAAAACTGTTACTGGCCAATTTTAGAAAATGTGAATAACTCGCTATCTGGTGGATATCTGGCCTCAGTAAAATTGGGGTCCTATTTAAAATGTAAAGTTGAGGCTTTTGGCCAAGGACACATTCTTTAAAGAAGGCCTTTTTGCAATATTTTATTTTACATACAGGAACAGTTACTCTATGGAGTCCGAATGTCAAAGAGCCACTGGTAAAAATGTTGTGCCATCGTGGGCCTGTCAAGGCGATAGCTATAGATCAAGGAGGATGGTAGGGGATAGTTGTTGATTTTTTTATTATAACTGTAAACTGGATACCATGACTATAAATGTCAGGTAGCTCTGTCAGTTCGGAACTGTTCTTCCTTATTGGTCAAGTGCTTTTACAGGAAAAATGCTGCAGTATTTTGCATTAAGCCTGTAGGGGAGGCAACTTAATAAGTTGTGACATCATAATTCTAGGAGGGTCTGGGGGCATGTTCCCCCAGTTAAACAAATCTAAAACTAGACACTGATGGGGCCAGTCACCCACCTCCCCCCCCCTATTCAAACCCCAGCAGGAATCATACCCCAATCACACAGATGAAAGACAACTTGCACTAACCACTGTAGACATTGATCATTCACAACACAATACACGTCATTCAGGTATATGGCCACTTCAGCGCTTGATACACAACTCAAGATATGGGACATCAGGACATATAAACAACTTCAAGCATATCGTACAGTTAGACCAGCATCAAGTCTTGCAATCAGTCAACGAGGACTCCTCGCAGCTGGCTGTGGACCTCATGTACAGGTTCGTTGGTAGAAAAGCTTGAAATATTTGGGTATATAAAGTTTTAGCAAATTCAGAAGTATTGTTGCTTCTCTTTATTCCCGACGGTGGGCAAACCAGGCAACATTGCTCCCTAGCCATATGCCATGAAGGTGGATTGAGTAAAGTAGAAAGTGTTGTTTCCTAGCAATGTTCCATGAGTGTGTGCAAACCAGGAAACATTGTTTCCAAGCCATAATGTCCCACAAACATTTTTTTCAGCAAAAGTCACACATTGTCATGAATTTTGTTCTAGGTATGGAAGGATGCATTTCGTACAAAACAAACTGCTCCCTATATGAATAATTTATTTCCTGGCTGTGCTGTTCGTGATGTAGAGTTTTGTCCGTTCGAAGATGTGTTGGGCGTCAGTCATTCAAAAGGTTTCACAAGCCTTGTTATTCCAGGTGGGTAGTTGTTTTATACAATCAATTATGGGCTGGTTATTAAGTTGCATTGCACCGTAATGTATTTTTTCTCTGTCTAATGCCAGATGATTTTACTTGTCAAGTGGAGAGCGCTAGAAGAGTTATCACTAACTGAAATTTCTTTCTCTTAAGGTGCGGGTGAACCAAATTTTGATGCACTTGAATCAAACCCATATCAAAGCAAGAAGCAACGACAAGAATTTGAAGTCAAAGCTTTGCTTGAAAAGGCAAGTCTGTTCTACAGTTTGAACACTGTGTTTGGTAATGTTACCAATGTTAGATCAGGTCTGACCTCAGTTGGAATTTTTATCCAACATTGTCCAATATTTATAAATCAATATTTAGTATGTTATGAAAGTTTAAATGTTTTCTTTATTTTTCAGGTTCAACCAGAACTCATAACACTAAACCCAAATGAAATCAACCGTGTTGATGTTGTCGACAGAGATGTTAAAATTGCAGAGATAAAAGAAGATCAACCAGTAAGAGTTGTAAACTACTTTTTTCCTGAATAACTCTGTCAGTGCTACACTGTTATTCCTCCTAGAATGGTTCAGTGTTACTAAAGGAGGAAACCTAAACTAAACTAATCTTAAGATAAATATTAATTCCCAGCAGAAAATATGTAAAAGAGCCATAACAAAAATATAATTCTTCCTAGAAATCCAGTTAGGGTCTTCCCTTATTGGTTCATTGTTACTACTGGAGGAAACTTAAACTAAGTATCTTGTAGGAAGATGAAGCTTTTACACCAAAACATAAAACGAAAGGCAGAAGTTCTTCTGCAAAACAATTTAGAAGAAAGAAAGGCGTAAAGGGAGAGGACAAACGGGTATGTACACGAAGTATTTTTAATCGTTTTAATAAAATGGTGCGGCATAATGCTTACAGATACCCTACCTGTTTACTGCAGGAGAAAGTGAATAAAATTATGAAAGAAAAGCAAAAGAAAGCAAGGAAAGAAGAAGCTCGGGAAGAGGTGGCCGCCAAAAGGAAAAGTAGCAAGAAAAACGTACTGGACAGGTTTAGAAAAACAAGTAAGACGTAACATTGAAGGGTAAGTGGTAGCAGTCCGATGTGACTTGCCAAAACGGGTTCGCAAGAGTGCTGTATACGAAGCTCGCACAAAGAAAAGCTTTTGAAATTCTCGTCCTTTCCTCACACCATAATCCCAGCTGGAAAATAATAACTGAATAACATAATGTGTACATGCACACTGCAGTGGGAGCATATTGTATGGAAAAGAATCAAAACAAAAGGGATCACCAACATCCATAATTTCAAACACTGCATATAGTGAACAATTGTTGCTCACATAGTTCAGACAAATTATAATTTACAGTCGATACAGATGTTAGAAATAAAGGAATTTTATCACATCACTTGTATTTAATTAAATCAATGCATTTGAATAGTGTTTAGAAGTTTGGGGGTCTACACCAACTAGGGAAATCAACAATGCTAGTGAGGTCGCAAAATAAACTGCTGTACAAATGGCGGCTACTTAAAATGGAGATTCATAATAAAGTACAGAAATTTTGCCATTTTTGCAAATCCTTGTACATGTAAATAAAAAACAAAAAAACAACAGGCAATATAGTAGTTGAAAATCAACTTTATTCTGTGAATATTGTACATATTATTAACCCTTCTTCTTGGCAACACCAACGGTTCTTCCTTTTCTGCCGGTTGTTTTGGTGTGCTGACCACGGACACGGAGACTATACAGGAAAAAATACACAAGTTCAGACATGGAAAAACCTTCAATGCCTAATTGCAACTTTGTCATGACCATGGCAATAACCGGGCTTCATTCTGTCTAACATCAGACAATTTTCCACACTTTGCAATAATAAATTATTATATTATGTCAACACGTACCCCCAGTAATGACGAAGGCCTCTGTGTGCTCTGATCTTCTTCAGTCTTTCCAAATCTTCTCGAAGTTTGTTGTCAAGATTATTGGAAAGTGCCTGGGGAAAAATATATATAAAAATTAGTTCAATTATGCACCTTGCATCAGTATCAGTATTATAGCTAGTTCATTTTGCCTTTACACCAAAATAAAGGACTGGTATGACCTGACGATACAACTCAATGTTCTGTTTCATGTGCTGGCCAAAGTATACCTGACTGTATTTGCCATCTTTAATGTCCTTCTTCCTGTTCAAGAACCAGTCAGGAATCTTGTATTGTCTTGGGTTTTGAAGGATCGTTGCAATGCGTTCAACTTCGTCTTCTGACAACTCACCGGCACGTTTGTTTAAATCAACGTCTGCTTTACGGCATACCAACGTTGCGTAACGTCGACCTACGCCCTAGAGTAAATTATGCAGTTAAGGCCAAATAAAAATAATAGTTGGTTTCAGGTTTCACAGCGATGTTTTAAATGGGTAGGTAGGTCGGAAAAACATTTTATTTAAAAAATTTTTTTATCTCAAGTATGCAATAACAGGGATCACCCGCGAGCTACAGGTGTTTCGCGAGAAACGAACGCATCAAGGCGTTTTCGTCTTTTTTCAGCCGTAGCTGCAATGTCAGAATAACTTACGTTTTTAATATTTTATTCAACTGTTTTTGTGTAAAACTATGATTAACATGACTAGATAATGATTAAATTATAATCAAACAAAATAATTTGTAGACAAATGAGTCTGATGACTATTTATATATTCTGCTATTTACGAAAAGATGATCTCTACTGGGAAATGTCAATAAAATGTTTATGGTCGGTCATATAGTTGACAGGTTGGTCGGACACCTGAAACCAACTATTATTTTTATTTGGCCTAATATGTTGTGTTGTAAAACCCAGGCAGCTACATTTGATAGCATCTATATTGCAAACTTGGGAAGATGCAAGGAGATGTGTTGACTGACTCCCTAGTGACAAACACTAGAGGGGCCGACACCCCCCCCCCCCCAATGATTTCTGAATGCCTTTGAATGATCGCTGAATATTAAACAGACCAAGGTTACAAAAGGTGGTCGGTCATATGTTGGCGACCTAAATTTGTCTTCCTCCAAATATTTTGCAAAGTGTCCACTAGTGGGAACTTGACCACAGGACAAAATCTATTGGTCTACAACCCCATATTATTTGAGGAGTAATAGACAAATTGATTTCAGCCTAGATGGTTTAACATTTGGAAAATGAGATACTGTAATAATTCTGGCCAATGGTTTGTTGACATGAGGCTTATTAATACAGTTGTCCACTGTGCTTTAGTCGAACACTCTCTCAGATGAAAATCTTGCTGAAATATCAACATTTACAACCGTCTGTACAGACTGTACTTATTTATTAGACAGACTGTACTTATTTATTATTCGATACAGGTGATATTATTTTATTAATATAATAATATATACGTCCAATTTCTTGTACCTTGATTGAAGTGAATGCAAACAAACATTTTTCCTTGCCATCGATATTTGTGTTTAACAGACGCAAAATATGCTGGAACTTCTCGGGAACGACAAGAGCCTAAACAAAGTAAAAATACTACTTTTTTATCTTCAATTCCCTCTGCTACAAAGTTGATTTTTTCCTTTTGTTTTACGCCTAATTTCAAAATAAGCCACAGAATAGAACAAAGGATTATCAGTTCACAAAATGGCAAGAGGGAAATACGAAACAACTGTAGGATTGGAGTAAATTTTGATGGATTATTTATCGAAATATAAATCTATCTTCCATTCTTACCATGATGGCGGAATAAGAGAAAGATTCGCTTGGAATTCTGGGAGTTTTATACACACGTGCGGGCAAGCAATTTTAGGGCGTGCAGGTGTTGCAGGTTAAATATATCCAGGGGGGAGTATTCATACCAAAACGTAACCGGGGGGTAGACTTCTCGCCAAAAGTCCAAAACACATGGCAACAAAAGTTATAAACAACAACAAGATGTCGGCGTTTACAAGTTTAGTTTGCCGCGGAGATGCGACGAAAATTAAGGAATATCTCGAAGATTCAGAGAACGAAATTGAAGACCGTCAAATTTTTATAAACGAACGCGATAAAAGCGGGAAAAATGCTCTGGATTTTGCAGCGATGCTAGGAAGAGAGGATGCAATCAGGATTTTGATAGAATGTGGGGCCGACCCAAATTATTGTACGAAAACAGGTATATAGCACTTGTTATTAACTTCCTTTTTCTTTGAAATGCAAAATTTTGTGTGCTGTTATAGTTGTACATAAATATAGATGGTGTGGTGGGGACTGCGGGGCGACGGCAGACCCTAGGTATTGAGTACCCCTTTCCCTACCTTTGTAAATTCTGATAGCTGGGGGCTGTTTGTTGCCCTTCCTATAGTTTTTGTAACTTTTAGAGCACGCCCACAATGAATGGTCAACTATCAGACGTATCAACATTTCTGACATTGACCGACCTTCTGTGTGTTTTTATTTATTTTTATTTACTAGCTTTGTCATAAATGACTGGTGATCCCTACAGGGCTTATTGCCCCATTCACAGAGTCCCTTCATTCTGTGTGTCTTCATTCTGTGCCATTACTGTAAGAAACAAGCATGCATCTCTTTCCAGTTTTTACTCCAAAGAATTGAAAATACATTTGTTTTATTCAGGTTATACTGTATTACACCGTGCTGCATCATGGGGTCACTTACATTGCATAAAGATGCTCGTAAATTGTGGCGTAGACCTACAGGTTACCAATGTTCATGGAGAGCGTGCAAGAGAGGCTGCGGCAAGATATGGAAAACAGGATTGTGTGGATTTCTTGGACAGAGCAGGTATGATGGCTAGGAGATCTTCAAATCCTAAACTAAATTGACATTATTTCTATTGGATTACTTTATCAAATTCTAAACTGTTTACTCCTGAGGGTTACTACAGGAGGAAACCTAATTACTGGATATAGCTATATCAATTTTGAATTGTTGTCTCTAAAAGTCCAGAAAAAACAATATATCTCTTATTGGCCCAATGTTACTACTACAGGAAACTGGAGTACCAATGGAAAACCTGTGATGTTTGGCAAACAGAAAGTACTCTTATCACATATGACTGAGGGTGTAAATTGTAATGAATATAAGGCACATGTACTAACAAGATTTACACTTATCTTCCATTTTTATCCTCTATGTTAGAGGCGATTGCAGCATTGCGTGAAGCAATTCAAGATATCAAAAGTACAATGACAGATCCAGAGAAGAATCTTGGACGTTTAAACAAAGAAGACAAGGTGTGTGTTAACTTGTGCAATGGCAGAAACCTAAGTGTGATAATGGGCTAAATAATAAAGTATGGTGCATGAGAGCACAGTGCAACATAACAAGTTCAATGTAATAAAAATGTAAGCAACTTCATGTCATAAAAAATTTGAATGTAATTATAGTTGACTGGAAACAAGCTGTGTGATGAGAAAAATACTTGGTTGATGGCAAACAAAGACACTGCATCTGTTGAACTTATATTCAAAAAGAAAGATGAACTTTACGAAGCTTTACATTATATTTTCTTGAAACTTGAAGACTTGGGTAAGAGTTAGCAATAATATAAAGCTGTTTTATGTGTTCAAAAATTTGGCAAAAAGCTTTATTTTTTGTCTGGAAAAGTGAGGGATTTTTCTGTTTTAGATGTGGAAAAGAAGAGATAATCTATTGTCTGTTATATATATCTTGTGGAAAGCAAAGACAAGGGCCAAGACGATTGCTTGTACAGCGCCACAGGCAAGCAACATCACTTGATAAATTATATTTGTTTCACAGTAGTAAATACTAAATAGCTTACTAACAGCCAGTGTCTGGCTCTAGCAGAAATAGTAAAACTATTGGTTGTGGTAAAAAGCAAAATTGTTTGCACCTGGTGTAAATTCATAGAACAATAAACAAAAATATATTTATTCTAGTTCAGATATTGAACTACACTTTTCAGTATCAAAATTAAAATATGAATTGCACAATAAAACCATGTGTGTAAAACATACGTGTCAACATTTTATTGTATAAAAGATTTCTGCAATAAGCTATTAAGGCCCATTTCCACTCAAGAAAAATTTCCACGGACAGAAAATTTTCCGAAAATATAATTGTTTTTGTTAAAAATTTTCAACTTCAAAACTTTTTTCGAACGGAAAATTTGTGTCAGCCAATCACATTTTACAAAATTTTCTTTCTGCAGAAAATTTTCCAGAGTGGAAATGGCCCTTAATTATGGCAATGACAGACTGACAGTTAATTACCTTGCATGGTGTAAAAACACTTGATTATTACCATACTCAGGTATAAAACAATGTTCTCCATAAAATTATATCTATTTTCTATACGTTAAAGACTATTTGCGCAGTAAAAGCGCGATCATTCGTAAAATAGAATAAATTCCGCAAAATTCTAAAGTTTTTGCATAAATTGCGTGCAGAAAATAACGCGCGAAAAAAAGCGTGGTGTCGAATTTCGTCGTTTTCGTGTCGTCTATGGTAACATTGTCACGTCGGCTGAAAGAACTCACAGAAATGTTTTGTTGACAATGATAAATATTTCATTTTCTCGAGATATTTTTTGTATTTTCTCCATATCCTAGATGGATAAGCAGGATAACTACGTTACGGAGGGTCCTGTATCGTTTACAGGCGGTGTGAATCGAAAAAACCATTCAAACAAACCTGTTCTTCATCATATATCCGACAAACATCCGAAACACGTTCTAGAAGCTTTGGACGGGCTTCGTCAGTGCAAAGAGCTTTGCGATGTCGTTTTAAACGTCGGATCTCGAGTTTTATACGCTCATAGAGTTATTCTAGCTTCTTGTAGTCCGTATTTTAAGGCAATGTTCACAGGGGAACTTGCTGAAAGCCGTCAAATGGAGGTGCCCATAAGAGACATCGATGAACACGCGATGGAGTTACTCATAACTTTCGCCTATACGGGATCAATAACAATCAAAGAATCAAACGTACAAACGCTTTTACCGGCCGCTTGTTTACTACAGCTTAGTGAAATTCAAGAGATTTGTTGCGAGTTTTTAAAAAGACAGTTAGATCCTACGAATTGTTTGGGGATCAGGGCATTTGCTGACACGCACGCCTGTCGGGAACTCCTGCGATTTGCTGACATGTTCACACATCATAATTTCCAGGAAGTCGCTGAAAGCGAAGAATTTTTATTACTTCCATATGGCCAGCTATTAGATATCCTATCGAGCGATGAACTCAATGTGTCGTCAGAAGAGCTTGTCTTTAAAGCGGTTATGTCATGGATTAAGCATAATGTATCCGAGCGTCGCCACCATCTTCCGTCTGTGTTGCAACATGTCCGACTCCCACTGCTCGGACCAAAATTTTTAGTAGGGGTTGTCGGTACTGACATGTTGATCAAAAGTGACGAAGCATGTAGGGACCTTGTTGACGAGGCAAAGAATTACCTTTTATTACCTGAGCAGAGATTACTTATGCAAGGTCCCAGGACTAGACCGAGACGGCCTACAAAGTGTACCGAGGTTCTGTTTGCGGTAGGTGGGTGGTGTAGCGGTGATGCTATTAATAGCGTTGAAAGGTATGACCCTCAGAATGGTGAGTGGAGGTTGGTTTCACCCATGAATAAGCGACGTTGTGGGGTTGGTGTTGCCGTATTGGATAACTTGTTGTACGCGGTCGGTGGCCATGACGGTAGTAGCTACCTTAATAGTGTCGAGCGCTATGATCCAAAAACTAACCAGTGGAGTTCTGAAGTTGCACCAACCAGCACATGTCGGACTAGTGTCGGAGTCGCTGTTCTAAATGGGTAAGTATTCTATACTAGCTAAATATGTAAATTAACCATTGAGTCGCATTGCGCCCTGATGCGCCATACTTTATTATTTTACTCTGTCTAAGGAAAAAAAAAAATATGTGGGTTTCCGGTTTCCTCTTGTAAAAACTTAGGTAGGGTAGGTCGGTTTTAACTTTTTTTTTAACTTTTTTTTAAATTTTCCTAACAACCGGACGCCATTTTGTTTAGTCAGTGCTTCCACATCCAAACATAAATTTCCCTAATATTGCCTCAAATTTTCATTTTCCACAAACGTTTTGCTCTAAGTGGAAACACTTACAAGCGTGATCCAATAAAAAAGTTTAGGGTCGGGATTTCGACGTCCAAAAGCTAGGTAGGGTCGGGAAACCCACATATTTTTTTATTTGGCCTAACACCAGACAATTTTAATTGTCAAGCGGCGAGCACTGGTCAATCGCTACATTTCAATTCACTATACTTTGTATGACAGCATTAGTGTTTAACCACTTGTGTGATTTTCAAATATTTCAAGGCACTCTCTATCAAATGAATTTACTAATAATGTTTTCCCACTTATGTTCAGCCATATGTATGCAGTTGGTGGGCAAGACGGAGTATCCTGCCTCAACATTGTTGAACGGTACGACCCGAAAGAGAACCGCTGGACCAGAGTTGCTCCGATGAGCACAAGACGACTAGGGGTAGCTGTGGCCGTGCTGAACGGCTTTCTCTACGCAGTTGGGGGGTCGGACGGGACCTCGCCATTAAACACGGTTGAACGTTATGATCCCTCAGCCAATCACTGGAAAGCCATGCCCTCAATGGGAACAAGACGGAAACATCTTGGTGTTTCAGCTTTTCAAGATAACTTATTTGCTGGTATGTATTTTGAACTAAAACTGAACCAAATCATTAAAACATCCCAAATATCTGAACACTATCAATTCTGTTGTTTTTAATTCACTTGTTATTCAAATTTAATACAGTTAATTTTATTTTTCTCAGTGGGTGGTCGTGATGATTCAACTGAGCTGAGCAGTGCAGAATGCTTTGATCCAGAGACCAACCAATGGAGCCCTGTGGTCGCAATGAACTCCAGGCGAAGTGGTGTTGGTCTTGCGGTCGTCAACGGGCAGCTGCTTGCCGTCGGTGGTTTTGATGGCACCACCTACTTGAAGACCATTGAGGTCCTGGACTCAAATAACCAGTGGAAGATGTATGGTGGGATGAACTACAGAAGACTTGGTGGTGGTGTAGGGGTGGTTAAAGTACCATTGTGTGATACCATTGGGTGTTAGTGGTGGTGTTTATACTGTAAATGGGTTTCAATAAGCACTATTGTTCAGCAGAAAGTGACCGACCAATAACTCACAGAGTGAAAAAATGTTTCATTCTTTATATATTGGTGTAGCATTTGGAATTACTTAAAAAAATACAAAATGAAATTCTAATCTCAAACTGTCAGAACCAGTGAGGCTTGAAATGTTGAAGTTCTCTTTGTATTTTTCAGGTAGTTGTATCCCTATCAATCTGAAGCTTTCAAAGACATTTTGCTCAATAGACCTTGCCGATTATTCTCTTTCACCCAATGCATGTCAGGGGCAGATTAGATTATATTCCCATGTGTTCCTATATGAATTTGTTTCTTGCTGTTCTTAGGCTCTATTACAAAGTGATTTTTAACCGTACTTAGCACAAAACATGAGTAAGTATTTGACACGAAAACGAGGCCATTGGGTGAAAAGTGAATAAACAGTAAGGTATATTATCTATAAGTGTCAATATTTTTTTTGACCATTATTTGTTGTTGGATAATGCTTACTGAAATCTACTAATTGTAGATAGTTGTGTACTAGGTTGGTATGTAGAGGTATACTATTGTCAAAATAATAAAGTGTGTTGGTTTATGCCAAGTGTGTTGTTGTTTTTAGGTTTATCAAACCTTGGAAACATTACAGAAGCATTGAAATTCTGATGTTTCTTGGAATGTTATAATCGTTTGCCCACCCATGGCCATGGAAATAGTTTTCTGGAAACAAAATTTGCTTCCAGGAAATAGAAATGTTAGCCATGAACAATGTTTCCAGCAGGTTTAGTTGCCAATCTTTGGAACACATGTACAGATACCCGGTTTTATAATATACAATACCAGTAAACTCACTAACTCAAATACTGTTGACTGAGAAATATATTTTCGAATTATTTTACAGCAGTTCCTACAATGTTCTCTAGTTCATCAATTTCTTTAAGACATTCCGATGTTAAAACAACAGGTCCTTTCTGGGTTATCAAAATATCATCTTCGATACGAATTCCAGTACCTTTATACCTACAACACAAATTAGCATCACATCATTGATGTGTTTCAGAACTATCTTCAAGGCTGATGCCACAACTTTTGCCTAAAACTGTCGCATGCAACCTGCTTACAACTTGAGTTGTACTGTGTAAATCAAGCATACAGCTTGCCTACGTTTTTCAATGACAAGTGTTTCTTGAAAAACATACTCCAAATACACCAATTAATAGTGCTAGTGTATTTCTACCCACCTTGCTGGTACGTCCATACCATCTCTGACATACAGACCAGGTTCTATGGTGATCACCATGCCTTCTGACAGAGGAAGATTTTTACCAACAGAACTGACGTCATGGACATCCATACCAAGATAGTGCCCGATGTGGTGAGGACACAATTTTCTCACCAACTGTAAAAGTAAGATTTTGTTTGAAATTCCATCTCATGGATAGCTCGTGTTGTGTTTAAACTACGACAGACAATCTATCGGGAAGATGATGCGTCCCTGATCTAAATGGCAAAATGGTTAAACCAAAACTATCTAATTCCTACTGACCTGTTGTTTTTGATGTCGTTGAAGACCTTTTGGGATGAGTTTAAGCGCTATAATATGTAAAACGACGTAAAGAATAATAAGTCACACCACTCACATGGGGCTGGATGAATTCGGAACAGTACTCAAATTCGTCCTGTTCGTCCCAGGTTCACACGGAACCGGATCGAATTACGAGACGAGAAGAGTTCACACGGAACCGGATTAATTACGAGACGAGAAGTGTTCACACGGAACCGGATTAATTACGAGACGAGAAGTGTTCATACGGAACTGGTCTTGAAAAAGTCCGATCCGCTGTTCACATGGCGCCGTCTAATTTAGAAGCAATTCCGGCACAAAACGTAACCTAATTTTCTTTGGTCTCGAATTCGTACGGTTAGTTGCTGGAACTCGTCTAGTTTCATGCGTCCTGTTCAACGCAAGGCGAAACCGGACAAATTTGAGTAGGCTTCCGAATTCATCCAGCTTATTGTTTTCGTCAGAAAAATTCTCTTTTTTCTAGTAAAATATTGCCTTGGTTCTAGGGTCCGTTCTTTGTGTACCATTAAATGTACCTTCAAAATCTTCTTCCATCATAAATATCATTGCTTGATACAGTTTATCCAGAGAACTACCAACTTGACACAGCTGAAGGAAAAGTTGAATAAACATCATTTACAATGATATCCGGGCTAAAATACGGGTGTTTTCACAAACCAAAACAAATATCACCCATGCAATGACTTAGAACACTTGCAGTTGCCTTTAAAATGAGCTCATATTACTTGGCTTCTGGGGCCGGTTGTTGAAAGGTGGGTTAGCACTAACCCTGGGTTAAAATTTAACCTGCTGTTTTGGTTTGTGTTGTCCTGCATGTCTGTTTATTTCAAAACTTAAGAGAAGTGAACTCCTGTTGATCCAGACAAGATTTCTGAAGAAACATTTCCAAATTTATAGACAAGCTGTCAGGATATTTGCCTTGAATTTTAAGTTAACCTAGGGTTAAGCTAACCCAGCTTTGAACAACTGGCCCCTGGGGGCAACTTGAAACGAGCCACTATACTCAACACGACAACAGAGGGAATTAATAATGATCTCATAATTTTTGCTACGGGTCAATACATGAAAGAGGTCTATTGCAACCTTCGATTTTTTACCTTAATGCAATTTTTCTGTATTTTTAACATGACTTCATATAGTTGTCTTTGTGGTTTTGTAAATTTACTATTAACAGGCCAGACTCTGGTTGTATCGCTACTATAACCATTATATTCGCAACCACTGTCCACCAATAATAGTTCACCATCCCTGTGATATAGGACAATGAAAATGTTGTTTTTGATTAAATGTACGGGCAAACCATGCAGGAAAGATTGTTTTCTAGCCATGTTTCTCAAAGGTGGGCAAACCAGGAAACATTGTTCCCTAGCCATGTTTCCCGAAGGTGGACCAACCAAGGAACATTGTTTCCCAAAGGTTGACCAACCAACCAAGGAAGGTAATGTCAAGATTTTCAGATATTTTCTACATTTTCCTGGATGGAAACATTTGAGAAAACGATTACCTTAATATATGGTTATTACTGACATAATGTAGAGTATTTGCCATTGAACCAGTTGCAACAACTGGAGGAAAAGAAAGTCGATCTGCACCAAGCTTCTTGCATTCATACTCCATAATATTGTGTAGTTGTGATTCCTGGATGCCCGCTTTGGTCCTTGCCATGGTCTGCAATGATTAATCAGACATTTCATTGGAATTGGACCCTTTGATGTAAGTTGATCTAGTGATTGGAATGTTACATTGCCTTTCATTGTTTTGAAAATCTCACTGTTCTCTATGGCATCCGATCACGATTCAGTGATGAGAATGTTTCATTGTCTGAAAACTCCACTGTTTTCCATGTCATCTATTCTTGGTCCAGTGATCAGAATGTTCCATTGTCTTTTCATTGTTTTGAAAATCCCACTATTCTCCATGTCATCCAGTCATGATTCAGTGATCAGAATGTTCGGTGTGATTGTCTTTTCATTGTTTTAAAAATCCTACTGTTTTTCATGTCATCCAGTCATGATCCAGTGATCAGAATGTTCCATTGTCTTTTCATTGTTTTGAAAATCCTACTATCCTCCATGTCATCCAGTCATGATCCAGTGATCGGAATGTTCCATTGCGATCATTGTTTTGAAAATCCCACTGTCATCCAGTCACGATCCAGTGATCAGAATGTTCCATTGTCTTTTCATTGTTTTAAAAATCCCACTGTTCTCCATGCCATCCAGTCATGATCCAGTGATCAGAATGTTCCATTGTCTTTTCATTGTTTTGAAAATCCCACTGTCCTCCATGTCATCCAGTCATGATCCAGTGATCAGAATGTTCCTTGTCTTTTCATTGTTTTGAAAATCTCACTGTTCTCCATGGCATCCAATCACGATCCAGTGATCAGAATGTTTCATTGTCTTTTCATTGTTTTGAAAATATCCCACTGTTCTCCATGCCATCCAGACATATTTCTGTGAATTTGCGAACATTGCGAGGTACCTTAATAAAACCTTGCGCTGTGATTGATGAGCATTTCTTTAATAATGAAATTTCCGCCGGAGATTTAACAAGGCGTAACAACTCAACCAAATGACCGACACGATGTATTCCTAAAAACATTGGGAATGCATACATGTATGGTGCTGTTTTTTGTGTTTAAATATGGTTTCGAGAAATTCATTCGAAACACTCAACTTACTACTAAATTTAAATTTTGCATTGTTGAAAAGAACATCAGTTATCTCTTTATTGATAAGAGGATGTGGAGGGTCCATGTGATCATACCAGATATGGCAATTTTTATCATTAAATCTGCATTCAAAAATATAAAATAAACAAGTATTTCTTCATCAGCTAGCTTTATTTTCTAGCTAGGTTTCATTGAACACTCAATCATGCATTGAGTGCATGATTGGTCAAGACTGCAGAGGGGTGTATTACTCTGAAAAAAACTCTAGCTGCAAGGATAATTTGGGGATTTTTTTCAAGATTTTCAGCAAATTTTCAAGGATATTTTGGCAGGATTTTGAGGACATCGAGGGATTTTGGGATTTTTAGCCATTTTGTGGGATTTTGATCTACGAAATCAGTAGAGTAAAGATATTTAGAGGAAAACTTTTTTGGAAAGATTTTTTTTAGTTTTGGGAAGGTGTACAAGGACTTTTGCAAAAGTGTGCCACAATTTGCTGTTCTGTAATGCTTACTATTAAAAACCCACCCAAAAATACTCTTCAATAGTTTACAGGAAACAATTTTAGTACACATACCTTTCTAGCATAATTTGTGGAAGTTTACTTATTGGATGTGCCTTAAAACAGAATACTCTCAATTATAACCGAAAACATATTTTAGTGTTGAAGATGTCTGGTAATACAAAGAAATACTTCAGTTATAAATACTTTTCATACTTTGTGAAATCCGAAATGTTCGATAGCACCTTCTGTTCCACTGCGTGGTCCATCCCAAATTTCCCTGCAAATTTTGAATGTTTAATTTAAGCCACGTTCAAAGTCTCACTTACTAACTAGCAAAAATTTTATGGTCATTTTTGCCGGGGGGCCTTGCCTCTGGACACTCAAACACCCTCCAGTTACGCCACTGTGTATTACCTTGAAGGATCCCTAGGTCTTGTGAAAAATGTGGTCTTATATTTTTGACCAGGCATGTTATTCCCACCAATTTCTGTTGTGAGACAAAAAAACTGTTGCATTTCTGGCATACATATTGTTATATACTTCTGTTCTTAATTCAATACCGGTACTTGCCTACAATTAATACACTGTCAGGTTCTTGGTACCCTGTTAGGTACAAAAAGTTTGAATTCTGTCTGAAAGGATATCTAAAAAATGGAAAAGGCCATCAATTCAAATAATTATACTCGTGGGGGAGATGGCCACCATTGCATGTATCAAATGGTTGCATATTGAATAATATGTCTTGTGTGGCACAAAAGTGACTTACGGTACGTCTGGTCCCATGAAGTATTCAGGACTTGATGAAAATATGAGAATATGTTTCTCATGTAACTTTCCATAGTGAGTATTTCTGAGGACTCTAGACAGAATGGAATTGAATGAATTCGATTGTGATTGCCTTATTTTTATGAAAAAAGGTTAATTCAAATATTAACCTACTTTATTAAGTTATCTCTTCTTTGCGCATATTCGTTACTTGAAATGCCTGGTGTGACTAAAGGAGTTAAATATTAATTAACCATTAAGCTGCAGAGCTTCCCCCACTGAAGAGTAAAATCATCTGGCATTAGACAAGTAAAAAAATAAGTAGGGTGCACTGGGCCGCATAATGTGGCTCAATGGTCACTTAATTAGAGACATTGTCAGATTTTTTGGTTAACCCATTAAGCTGCAGAGCTTCCCCATTGACAAATAAAATTGTCTGGTGTTAGACAAGTAAAAAATAAGTAGGGCGCACTGGGGTGCATTGCGGCTCAATGGGTTAAATATTACTTATTACTTTTGCTGTAATGGTCAGATACTGCAGTTTCCTCCTGTAGGAACACTGGAGAAAACCTGAAGCATTTGGAAGAGTCAAATGTGGAAACATTTCTTCGAACATGTGACTGACTGAGGCAAGATATATTTAGAGCACTACTCACTTTCGTTTTCTTGCATCAAATGCGGGTGAGTTAGGCCGGTCGGTTGGCCCAATAGATGAGCTTGCACTGCTTGACATGTATGTAGTTTCTGCCGACATACCAAACTTCCAGATATGCCTGCTTAATTAAAAGATATAATATGATTATCTACTTTTATATTATTTAACTCTGTGTAACACCAGGCAATTTTACTCTTCAAGGGTGCTGCCACTCAATTGTGTTTTAACAATATGTTAAAATAACTTCTATTATTTGTGAAATCTCCAAGGGATTAAAGTTGTACAATATGAATTTACCATATCTGCAGAATTCCAATATTTTCGTATATCGTCCAGCCATACAGTAATGTGGGCAAGGCATAGAGTAAGGTATTAAAACATGTTCAGCCACTTTACGTGCTACGACTATCATCACCCACTCCCCCCTAACTCCCCAAAACATATTTCTCAAGTGGTACTCAAGTGGTGAAGTGGTTGGCATGGAAATACCGGAAATACTCGTTTCCTATTGGTCGATTGACTTGTTATTAATAAAATATTTTAATACCGGGTTCAATATTTTGGCTTAGGCATAGGCTTAGGGAATACTGTAATAAATATTAAAATGTCAGTGACTATTTGATATCTTGATGACAGTTCGTGTACTATTCAGTATTAACTATCAAATCTTTTTTAATTGCAGATAGCTATTAGTAACTGGTAATAAAATGGCAATATTATTTTGCTTTTTCTATTATCTGCTTTTGTTTACAAAGCAAGAAACCTTTGCTAAAACGCCGCTAAACGATTTTATTCAACATTACGAAACTTTGAACTATGCGGCGAAGCCAAAAATATACCGAAGGGACGCCGAGACAAGTTTTGGAAGAACACACGTCTTTGAATTTACAGCGCACGGACGGAAATTTGAACTAGCCCTTCGGCCTGATACAAAAACAATAGCATCTGACGCTGAAATAATTGACGGGGATGGCAAAAGAATAGAGTTTGACAAAAACTCGCTTTTAATTGGGAAAGTTATCGGCGAACCAGGGTCTATTGTCCACGGAGTGCTTCACGAAGATGGTGTGTTTACTGGCAAAATTCACACAAAAGATGGAGTTTATTTTATCGAATCGGCAAAGCGATATTTTGACAAGCCTTCTGGCTTTCATTCTGTGATATATAAAGACGAAGATGTCAAATTTGATGTTAAATTTGCCGAGCCAATAATCGCACCATTTGGGGAAGGACTTGAAAGGAACGACTTGGCAGCAGAAAGTTCAAGTTTTAAAACGAGAAATCGAAGGTCTACGGGCAACATAAAGGAAAACCTTTGCCGGCTTTCGATGGAGGCTGATTATACTTTTCTCAAGTATGCTGCAGGCACTATATTAGCTGTTGGTGAGATTTTAAAACATGTCCAAGGTCTGAATATAATCTATGGAAAAGCTTTTAATACAACAGATACTTATTCCCCTTACAGCATACAGTTCCATGTGGGGCTTTTACAAGTTCACAACGAAGATAAAACTCCAGGGGGATTAAAAAGGGAAAATATCGATAGCTCTACGTTTTTGTCAATAATGTCCAAGAAGGATTACTCAAAGTTTTGTGAGGCGGTGTACTTCACCCACAGAGATTTTGCCGGAGGTATTCTGGGCTTAGCCTGGATCGGATATCCACAGGGTAGGGCTGGCGGGATGTGTGATGGTAGGCGAGGTATAAACAGTTATAATACTGCTGTCGTCACATTTACACTTCAAGGAAGAAATAGTCCACCCAAGGTTTCCGAGATTACTTTTGCCCATGAAGTTGGGCATGCCTTCGGTGCTGCGGTAAGTATGTGTATTTGTCATCCGGTGACTTATAACCGAGGCATATTGAAAATGCTCTGATTTGCTTTGCCAAAAAAGTCTGTAATTTTTCCCAAAAAGGTGAAAAAAAAAAATTTAAAAAATAAGCCAAAATAGGCCAATTATGAGGGCTGGTTATACAGATGATTTGTGCAGACAAAATTTTAGCTAAACATTTATTTGCCAAATTTTGTCTAGCAATCAGGGTAATGTCTGTCTAAAAAGCACTAAAATCAGTTTTAGTTACATGCTTTGCATTCCAGTATATTATGTCTACCTATTTTTAAATTTCAGTGTTATTGAAATGTGTTTATTATGTATCTCATATTCATTCATGTCATAACCAGTGATTTAAAACAATTATCTCAATTTATGCGTAAGTGGGTGTGATATTGATTGCCTAGTTGTATTCAAAAGCCTCGGTCACAAATTGCTAATTTTAACGTGATTGCAGTCAAAAGGTCTACAAAGCTGTTTATTCATGTCAAGTGGGCCTATACTGTACATGGACATCCTTTCTCTTTGTTCCAGTTGAACTAATGGTGATATTTTACATCAAACTTAAAATCTGAACTATCTAGTATTGTTATTGTTAACGTATCAACGTTTTTTCTGATGACGTTATCTTAGCAATAATTGACCCCATCAAACTTAATAACAACACACCTCACACACATTGTTCAAATGGTGCAAAACTTTAAAACTTTAGTACTTTACTTCACATAACTTGTCCTTACATGTTGCGAACTTCATTCTGAACTTTGTTGTGAAGTTCATAAGTTCGTATTGAAATGCATGTTGCGGCAGAATGGCTGCAGCAGCTTCCGACAGTGTGTGAGAAAATACATTTTTTCAATCAGACCCACCCCTGTCATAGTTGACTTTCAATTCTGAGGGCTATCCCTCCCCCTGCCCCAGGATTAACCACTGGGTTTGAAAACCATTAATTAGCTAGTTTCATTCTTCCATATTTAGCACGATGACGATGAATGCATCCCTGGTGGAGAAGGTGGGAATTACATCATGTACGCCAAAGCAACAAGTGGTGACCGCGATCGCAATGATCATTTCTCATCGTGCAGTATCAGGCAAATTATGGCCAATGTCGATGCAAAACGAGGAAAGAGACTCGATCGTGATGCCGAAAAAAGGCCAAGACTTTGCCTTGAGAGTTTTGACAGGATGCTCGAACGAGGCGATCTTTGTGGTAACGGTATAGTTGAGGGTAATGAGCAATGTGATTGCGGAAATGAGGACCAATGTCGGACCTTTGAACCTAACTTATGTTGCAATCGGGTGAATTGTAAACTTAACACTGGCAAAATCTGCAGCCCTAGTCAAGGTACATGTATGCAATTATGCTGGCACAGCTGTAGTTTTACATCTCTGCACCTTCAATTCCTGCAATAATAATTTGTCTAATTTTGTCTTGGTCGAAAACATGCTTTCTCTAGTTTTTTTTACTCTACCAAACTACAGGTTTTCCAGCAGCCTCAGAATGGAACTGCTCTTTACTGGACCTCTACAAAGAACATCTTGATAGGATTTTCCAGCATCAACAAATTACAATAGCTTTAGAATAAAACTATGTTCTCCCTTGCCCTGACAAAAACAAACATACTTGACAAATAGTGCTCATCAGTGGCCCATCAGGTAGAATTGGACCAAGTCTCTCTCAAATTCAATTTCTATATCAAGTAGAGGTGTGCAAATCCGATCCAATTTGTTCGGATTTCGGAACAAAAATATTCATTTCGGATTGATAAAGTTGTTTCGTAGTCGGATCGGATCGGACTTCGATATTCGAAATAAAATGAATTAATTATCCAGAATCATGCACTTTGTCAGCTTCTTGACATGTATTTCTTGCTTTTATGTTTATCTGGTTAAATATTTCCACTTAAATGAGAAATTTATTTTATTAAAGGATTCTTCGGATCGGAATTCTTTATCAAAACTTGGATCGGATTCGGATTAGACAATTTCGGATTGGATTTTAAACATTAGCCAATTGTCGGATTATAAACATCCGATCCGATGCACACCTCTAATATCTAGGAGCCTTGCCTCCTGAGTCTCACTCTATTTATCAGGAGATCGATAGCAAATGTTTTTTACCTTTTGTTCTTGATCTTTGCCAGGTCCGTGCTGTAACAAGGAATGTAAAGCAGCTAATGAAACCACGATCTGCAAAGACGGCAATGATTGTCTTGAACTTGCCAGATGTCCCAGTGCACAAGAAAGACTCGATAAAGCCATCACAAAGTACACATGCCCAAATCCCAAAATGCGTCCTGATGGTACAGAATGCGAAGGGGGTGCCTTATTGTGTCATAATGGACTATGTACCAAGTCTATATGTACAAAATATGCACTTAAACCATGTGAATGTAAAGATATGAAAGAAGAGTGCCATGCTTGCTGTATTGATAATGGTGTTTGTCGCTCAGCTTACAAAATTGACAAGGTACATATGCATTGGTCCAGGAGGTATTCTTTGCCCAAGTTTGTTCATATGGGTTGTCAGTCTCTATGTAACCGCCGCCCCTCTGTGATTCACAATGATCCATCATCAAAATGCACTCACCATGTTCCTAGTCTGTGCTCTTGTGAGGGGCATTCACCCCCCTGAACATTGATCATTTTGAATATTTTCAGGTGGTGAATGCCACTCAAAAGCACACTGGCAAGCTAGGATCATGGCAACAGTATTGCAACGATTATACCAAAATCATAGACAAAACCAAGATGTCTGCCTTCTGTAAGGTCTCTATTCTGTGGTCATACCTTCCCCTGGGTGCAGAGGTTTTCCATTGCAAGGCCGTTTGGAAGTAAATCAATATTTGGGAGACTCAAGAATAAATGTGAATTGCTTTCGCACTTTTCTAGTTCTTTTGCGTGTTTTGCTTATACAAATGGAAATTATTGCTGAGTGCAGGCTACAGGTTCAGTGAAACAGGAAACCCCCAGATCCAGGGTAGCCTCAACCCTCTCATCAACATTTGTTTTTCAGATGAAGCGTCCTACGCCGTACAACTACAGTGTTGGTTCTGCATGTGCCAACAACACTGGCTACTGTGATTTCTTTCAATATTGCCAGAGAGTTGACCTGGAGGGTCCATTACTACAGCTGTTTAACCTGTATTTCACCTCTGAAGGTAAGTGTTTGTGGTTACATACTGTACACACATATATACAATCATACAGTTGAAGGGTACGTGTGTTGGTTGACTTGGTTCTATCAAGTGAGATGCCCAAAAGTTCCATAGCTTATAGCACTTGGCATCACCCAGTCAGGGTCAATTTTGAATTGAGTTTTGAAACTCAATCTTTTCACCAAAGTTTCAGTGCAGTAAAAATGAAGTTGTTTGAGTTAAATTGGTGACGTGTGGAAATTAGTTTTCAGTTGGAAACCCGACAATTAAGAAAAAATGGCTGGAATTCATCTCACAAGAAAAGCTATGCATTTGCCATCTTTAACTAGTTTATAGTGTCCCTCAGCTTGTCCCTCAGTGCCCCTGCTTTAACACATTCCGTCTTAACTACATTTATTGAGTACAAGTGTCAGCCCCCTGGCAGGGGGGGGGGGGTGCAGCCACCCCAGCTGTTCAGCTAAACTCGATCTTCTCTGCAAAAACGGACCCAAGAGAAAATCCGGAAAAAACTCCTGCCAGTATCCATATAAAAAAAACTTGTGGTTACAGCTCAACAACTGGACTCTGTAGAGCGCTGCACTGGAATCACAGGTTCGATTGGTCTAAAATTGTATATGATTAGGCCTGTATATTACATGTACGTATACGAGTAGGCCTGTATATGAGTAGGCCTGTATATTATATGATTAGGCCTGTATATATTAGGCCTGTAATTGTATATGATTATGACCTGGTTAGGTCTAAAATTGTGTATGATCGTCATACAGGCGAGCACTGCTCGCAGGAAATGTTAAACAGCTGCAGGAAATTCCTTTGAATGAAGATGATTTGCCATTGAAAATTTGAAGGAAACCTTAACACCCATGTCCCACTGTGAGCGCAACAACATATGGTTGACACACATTAACATTATTCATTAAATTTAAAACGATAGTCAGCCAGAACACTGTATGTTTATTCACATGCAGATTTAGCACAAAAATACTCCGTTGGTCTGCAGGAAATTATTGTCTCCAGGTTGTGCTCCCGGGAAGAAAATTCTTTTCTTCTGCCCTGTTTCTAGTTTACTTAATAATTCATTAATTCTTACAAGGCTTATATTCCTTGAAGGTGTTCGTGAGCTGACTCGCAAGTATTGGTGGGCAATCTTACTTGCTACTCTGGGTCTTATTGCTATCATAGTTCTGCTGGTAATTTATGGTGCTCGGTATACTGGTACAGATAGTCCTGATGGTGCACCAGCCAAACCCTTACCAAGCTTCTGTTGTTGTAGTGGTGGTGACCAGAGTGACGGACCACCACGGAAGGAATTGAATAATGAGGAACGGGCTATCAGAGACGACGAATTATAAGATAGGGTGATTTTGTTTTTCTGTAAACACATCCACGGTAATCTAATTGTCTCATTAGGGTCATTTATACAAGCGAAAATAAGTCGCGGCCTAAATAAGCCGCGGCTTAAATAAGTCGCGAACGACTCGTATAAACAGTCAATTTGCAATAAGCCGCGGCTAATTTAGGCCTAGCCTTCAAGCCTGGGCTTATTTTAGCCTCGGCTTATTGCAAATTGACTGTTTATACGAATCGTCCGCGACTTATTTAAGCCGCGGCTTATTTAGGCCGCGTCTTATTTTCGCTCGTATAAATGACCCTACTATTGTCGATTTCAAGTCACTTTTTAACACGGCAGGTCCCAAGGTCGTTGCAAACTTGTCAATTACGTTTCTAAGTACATTTCAATGTTTGAACTTCGTTTATAAAGAAATGTTCATGCCCAATTCAATGAAATACAAACCTTCTGACTTGGTGGCCCACTGGACCAAGAACTTTCCATTGAATTGTTAATTTCAACTTGAACTATGTCTATGAACATTTGTTTACAATAGTTCAAACATTGAAATGTACTTGCGAACTTTGTTGCGAAGTTTGCAACGAACTTGGGAACTTGGGAAAAGTGACTTGAAATCCTGCTTGAAATCGACAATAAAGCCCGTCTGAGCAAGTTTTTCTTGACAAGTTTACATTCCCGTGTGTACGGTCAACAAGATTCCCTTGAAACCACAGAAGTATTTCTTGCACACTTGTCAGGTTTTCCTTGCCGGCCGTACACACAAACAAATTTTCCTTGTCCAAAAGCTGACATGCCTAGCTTTGGAACAACACTCCTTGGCAAGGGAATAATTGTCAATGTTTTGCCGTACACACAAGCAAATAAAACTTGTCAAGGAAAACGTTTTCGTCCTTACGGGGCTTAATTCAATTTGCTGTATACAGGTTGTATAAAAAAAAACTGAACAGATTTAAAGAAAGCTTTGCAGTAATACATTTACGTGGTGTTTCCACAAACAAAACTATTATATGTTTTATCGCCATGCAAACGTACAAAGAACTTATTAGATTTAAAATTGTTCTCAATTTCGCAAAAACAGCTATTAGTATCCAGTTTTTGATGTATATATCTTCTTGGGGTACTTATAATGTAGAATAATGAAAAAAAATTCGCGAACACTAATTCTGTAAACCAGGGGGGGGGGTGTCTTTTCCGACAAACTAAAAATGGCTTGCACACGAAATTTAAAAGCTATAATCGTATTTCGAGTTAATGGATGAAAAATTTGTTGGGTTTTTAATTGCTGCACGAAACGTCAGACAATTTGCTTCAGTTTAAGCCCTTCAACTATCCACGCAAACTTACATTTTTCCTAAAAAATCAGCAATTTGCATGCTTAATTAATGCATTTTCCAATTTGCATATGTCAGCAATATGCAAATTAGGTAAAGGCATTAATTAAGCATGCGAAAGGCTAATTTTTTAGGGAAAAATGAATAGTTTAAAGGGCTTAAACTGAAGCAAATTGTCTGAAATTTCGTGCAGTAATTAAACACCCAACACATTTTTCATCCATTAACTCAAAATACGATTAATAGCTTTTAAATCGCGTGCGCAAGCCATTTTTAGTTTGTCGGAAAAGATACACCCCCCCTGGTTCACAAAATTTGTGTTCGCGAAATTTTTTTCATTATTCTACCCAAAGAAGCTATATACATCAGAAACTAGATACTAATGGCAGAATGGCTGTTTTGCGAAATTGAGAGCAATTTCAAATCTGTTCAGTTTTTTTTTTGTACACCCTGTATATAGTGGACTATCAATATATTGTCCCGCGTCTGGAAATTATGCTGTCTGGGACCAAACTGACTGAAAATGATTAAAAACTATGCCAGCACGATATATAATTTTTTTAAATTTCTTCCATGAGAGACATGGCGTGTAGTACTGTAGTCCCATGTAATCGAATGTATTTTGATGATGTACTTATATGTTGTGTACACTGCAGTCGTAGCTTATATTAAAATGGACTTTCACAAAGTCAGTTTTCTTTTTCGAGGGTTAAAGGCGAAAGAGGAACACTGCAAAAAGTCCCTTTATAGTCAATTATTAATGGAAGAAAGATTAAACAAAATTAACAAATCTCCAATCCGGCTTCGTATGTTGGTCTTATTAATTTCTCGTATCACGTATGGGTTTATGTAAATCTTAATGCATTGCTCATTATCTGGCGACAATATTCAATGTTCATTAAAAAGTTTAAAATCGCCACCTGCGCGCTCCATATTGACAATCCCATATACAGCAATTCAGGAGAGCAGCTTTCATTCAGTAATCATTAACTGACGGCAGAGACGGGCAACATAATAAGCCAGACTGATTGAAACCGTATGATCTCGCGGAGAGGCAAAAAAAACGAAACAGATTTGCGAAATTGTCAACAGAATGGCAAACTTGATTAACTATCTACGTCTGCTGGCTTTCACCGCTTCGCTGAGCTATGGTTATTGCCGCTTGAACAGAGACATTAACTACTTTGAGGCACTGGATTATGAGCCGATGTATAAACAGTTTGGGCGACGTATGGATGAAAGGTCAATGGACGAAGCGTTGTTTATCAAATTTAAAGCATTTGGGAGAACTTTCAAGCTTATTTTAAGTAAAGATACTTCTTCTGTTGCTTCTGATATAGAAAAAATGGCCAGTTACAACAGAAGAGTTTATTTGTATCCAAATTCCGTGGTTGCTGGGAAGATAGCAGATGGAAACATATCTAAAATACGTGGCTGGATTACTGGCAGTGGATTATTTTATGGGACATTAGAATCCGAGAATGTCACTTTCTACATTGAACCGGCTGAAAAGTACTTTAGGAAACCAACGTTTCATTCTGTAGTCTACCGACGTCAAGATGGGGAGTATAGTTTGAAAGATATTCAACATAGGTTCGGGTTAGATTTGACAAAAAACGGAAGCAGAAAACGCGCGCGTCACCGAGGCAAGCGACGTGCCTCAACGGATCCCAGTATCAAAATTAAAATTTGCCGTTTGTCGCTTGAGGCCGACTACACATTTCTCAAAATGTCGGGCAGCCCTTTACGCGCCATCTCAACCATGGTTAATCACATAGGAGCGCTCAATAAGATATTTCGTAAATCTTTTGTCAACAGTGATAGACTAGTTAATGAGAGTATATTTACACTTCGAGGTAACGACAGCGTTCTCACGTTTCAAATTGCAAAGGTCAGAGTTTACAACGAGACGGAAACATCGCGTGTGTTGGGAGCCGGCCGTTTAGACGCGGCAACATTTCTTCGTGTTATGCAACAGAGCCAGGATTACTCGCAGTATTGTCTCGCTCTCTTTTTCACCGCGGGCAGTTTTATTGAGGGGGTTTTAGGTGTGGCCTATCCAGGAGGGCTGTGTACCAACTTGAATGTGGGCGTGGTCTCATTCACACGCGAGGGCGTGGACTTACCACCGCAGGTCACAGAGATTGCTGTCGCTCATGTCGTTGGGCATGCATTGGGGGCCAAGGTACGAGCCGTGTTCTTGTTGCTTGTTTTGTAATTTTGTTTACTTGACATATTTTATGTTTTTGTTTACCAGTTTGTTTGTTTACTAGTTTGTTTGCTTAATATTAGAGGTACAGTTCAACATCAAGCCTTTGCCTTCTATTTTGTGGCTTTGATATCTTGACAGACTATGGTCAAACCAGAGATTCGAGTACATTCCTGTGTAAAAATTAACCATAGCGGTTACGAATTTCGGAGAGGTTGAGATTGGACTACCGTTATCATTAACCAATCAGATGCGTTTATCTATTCGATTAACCAATCAGATGCGTTTAGTTTATTCGATTAACCAATCAGATGCGTTTATCTATTCGATTAACCAATCAGATGCGTTTATTTATTCGATTAACCAATCAGATGCGTTTATCTATTCGATTAACCAATCAGATGCGTTTATCTATTCGATTAACCAATCAGATGCGTTTATCTATTCGATTAACCAATCAGATGCGTTTATCTATTCGATTAACTAATCGCATGCGTACTGAGCCAGTACGAGGTAGTAACGGTCGCCGTAGTGGATGTGACATCTGAACCCGTTCTTCCTCTTGTTCCATTTAGCACGATGAAGACAACTGCCAACCAAGTGTTAGTAAAGATGGCGATTTCATCATGACGAGATTCGGCCTCGATGCGGACCAACCAAACAATTTCTTATACTCACCATGCAGCGTCCAACAAATAAAATCCTCCGTGAACACAGTACAGGACATGCATTGCTTGGAACGACACCCTCCTGAGGAACGTTTATGTGGAAATGGCGTGGTTGAAAATGGCGAAGAGTGCGATTGTGGTGGGGAACAGATGTGCAGAGTTCTGGAACCTGGGAACTGCTGTGACTTCAGATCATGCAAGTTGAGCGCACACGCTGCTTGCAGTGTCTCTAATGGTACACATTTCATTGTTTCAAATGACGCGGTTAGCGCATGTACCTTTCAACTGTACGAAATTATTTTAGTTTAGGTTTCCTCTAGCCTCCTGCGCAGACGTTGTTACCTCGGCCACTAACCACGTCTGCGCAGGAGGCTAGGTTTCCTCCTGTAGTTAACACTGGATTAATAAGAGATGATCCTTACTGGACCTCTAGGAAGAACAGTTTAGAACTGATAGAGCTATCCAGTACAAATAAATTTAGATTAGGTGGATTGCATTTTCTAAACAATATTGCCGACACTCTTAATATTCGCTCGTATTATAATATAAACTAACATTACATTTTCACCCAGGATTCTGTTGCGATAGTAAGACGTGTAGCTACAAGAGTACTGGAGACGTTTGTTCGCCTGAAACAGAATGTTCAGATGAGGCTGTGTGCACTGGTAATACTTCAATTTGTCCTCAGCCATCACACAAAGAGAACTTCCTGGAATGCAACAGGAACACAAGCGTCTGTATGAAAGGTGTTTGCAGTGGGAAAAATGTTTGTGGAAAGTTTGGCTTGGAGTCTTGTTTTTGTGAGAACAAGCTAGACGAGTGTAAAGTTTGTTGTGTAAGCGAAGACAAGTGTTGGCCTGCAGAGGATATTACAAAGGTATTGGCTGTGGGTTTTATTCTTTTATGGTGAGGATGAGGTATGGTGTAGTTTGGTGGAGTGTGTTGTATGATGGCCATGGTATTGTATGGTTTTGTGTGGTGTGGTGTATGGTGAAGTATGATAGTGGAGTATGGCGTGGTATGGTATGGTATGGTGAAGTATGGCAGTGGAGTATGGTATGGTATGTACTATTTAAAGCACGCGTAGGAGTGTTTTATCAGATATAAAACGCGAGGCGCAGCCGAGCGTTTTATATCTGATAAAACACGACTACAAGTGCTTTAAATGGCTTAAAAAACGACTCATCTTATATGAGTTCATTGGCGAAGTAATTTTTAAAATAAACTTTGTCTAAACCGAGAAAATCAAAGCTAAAGTTTATGTAAATTAACATGATTTTTTATCACATATAAAGATACGACACGCTTGTGATTTTTCTTTGTGTTTTCCTCCTGAATTATTAATGAGTTTTTTAAGGTATGGTAAAGTATGGTAGTGGAGCATGGCGTGGTATGGTATGGTAGTGAAGTATGGCGTGGTATATGTGGTATGGTGTGGTATGTGATATGGCATAATTTTAGCAGCTTAGTGTGCCATGATGTGTTAAGGCTTATTGACTTATCTTCTATGGATGTTTTAGATCAAATTAAAACTCAAATCAGTACACCTGAGTGCAGGATCGTTGTGTGCAAACAGAAAAGGATATTGTGACATGTTTCACGAGTGTCACCCAATAAATCTGAATGCCCCGTTTTCCCATCGCTATGATCCGTATTTCAGGAAGAAAGGTAAACCTAAGTTACCTCACATTGAAAAATACTACTTTCCAATTTTTTTTGACCAAGTTTTAAATCACCCATCCTCACTCTTTCCACCTATAACATGTTTCGCTCCCTTCCCTAGGTATGAAAGAAATAACGCATTCATTTTGGTGGGCAATATTTCTTGGAACAGTAGGTCTAATAGCACTTGTAGTTATGATAATCAAACATGGCGCTCTGTATACAAAAAGCAGTTGTCCAGAGTTGAACGAGCGTGAACCAGCTAAAGAATTGCCCAGGTTTAAACTGTCACGTTTAAAAGAGGAGGAAAAAGGGATCATACGTAGTGACGATATCGTTGCTTAATATTTAGAAACGCTTGGAAAGGCTGCTCTTCAGGTCTGCCCAAATCAGGGACGGTCTCTGCAACATATGAGATTCATTGTCTCGATTTGTAGCGGAAACGGATGATCCCAGATATCTATGGCCTAGACCATAGCCTATCGAAGGGAAGATGGCTGTGAAACTCGTTAGAATAACAATATAACTCATTATCTATGTTGGTCAACGTTTATTCATAAATCTGATCCTTCACCGTCACGTGTGTATTGTATTCTTGCCCAACTAACCAATAGCAATGTTTTAGGAAAGTCACCTATCCGTGACTCGAACAATAAGGAAACTGGAAATTGCTATTGGTGGATTTGGCAAAAATACAATACACACGTGACGGTGAAACGACCCGATTTATGAATAAACGTTGGCTAACTTAGATAATGAGTTATATTGTTATTCTAATGAGTTTCACAGTCATCTCCCCTTCGATATGCTATGCCTAGACCTAGGGCCTTCTGACCGAACGAAAGGGCGACAGCGAGATATAGGCAGCGTTCCACGTGACGTCATTGAAGTTGATTTACCTGCAAATCAAGTGCCGCCTGCCGAGTAAAGGCCCTAGGTCCTAGACTGTGATGATCCGTTTGGACGAACTTGGGCAAAGACAGTCGGATCATCCGTCAAGATTCATCATCCCTTTTAGGCTAAACACAAGTGGCAAAGCCAATTAGCCTTTGTCACGAAGGCCAAATTCGCCATTTTTGGGGTACTTTTTTTTATAAAGACGTGAAAAATCTAAGCGATGTGAAAACATTTTTTCAAATATTCAACTGGAAATTAACTTAAGTTCTTTGTATGTTTGCATGGCGATAAAATATAATAGTTTTGTTTGTGGAAACACCACGTAAATAGATAAATGCAGTAATAAATTTACGTGGTGTTTCCACAAACAAAACTATTATATTGTAAATTAACTTATAATGATTTTGCTCACAATTATAGTTATACAAATCCCTTATTCACTGGCTCACTGCGTACGGTAATTGCTAGATAGTATACTTCAAAATAAGGTTTCCGTTTTTATAACGTAGAAAAAACCATCCGAACGCAAAACTAAACCCTAACCCTAATACTAACCTTAACCCTAACCCTAACCCCAACCCTAAACTAACCATAACCCTAACCCTAACCTAACCCTAACTTATTTAAAAAATTGATATAAAACGGAAACCTTATTTTGAAGTATACTATCTAGCAATTTCCCACTGCGCACAGTCTCAGATTTGGAAAACGCAGTACGCCAAAAGTGGCGGCGTGAGAAAGGCTAATTAAACAGCGTGATATATGCTGGCAATGGTTGTTGTCATTGTCTGATATTTTGGGTGTGGAGCGCAGGCAGCAAATAATTAGGGAAGCTAGTGCCAGCCTGTGTTGCAAGGCTGAAATGTGACAGAAAAAGGCATTCCTTCAACAATGCCTGGTTACATGACGACCCGAAATCGGACAAATATACGAATGTCGGTTCAAATCCACGTGTATGGTAATCTGTTTTACTGTTCATTTATTAATTCTGACTTCTGAGTGTCTCATTACTGCATTTGACAGTTGAAGAGAATAGATCATAATTTGTCCGTGTATTTGCATCTTATATTAAAAACTGTCTGTTGCTATGTCTGACTGTACCAGTCAAGCAATATATGAGAAAATTCGAGAAAAAATAAACTCGCGTGAGAAAAATATCAGACATGCTTCGTTTTCAGAAGTCAGAACCATTGTCGGTATAGATCACACTGTTCTAGTCATAGTTCGACTGGGGTTTGTGTTTACACTATACCATCTGACAAACAGGTGATGTGACTTATCGGTTCGTCGTTTCTGGAAAAAGTCGACTCATGATATTGTCGATAGGCGGATTTCTCAAGATTTCGGGATTGGTCGGAACCGTGAAAAGATGAACATGCACGTGTGACATGCGGCCATCTTAACATCTTGTCTAGACACGCGATGCCGGAAATTAATTCCGTCTCCGAAAATGAAAATTGCCATCCTGCATGAGTGAGACGAAAAGCCCGATGTATAGTTAAAGAAGAAGAATATCATTTCTCGCTGAATGCATCATCCGTCTGACGAATCGTCTCTCAAGCCCAGATCAAACGAAGATAAGAGTGGATAGTCACTCGACATTGGTTAGCTGTTCTTAATGCTTTCCCGACACTTTCATGTATTTTATTGAAGTTAAAACATAGTTGGAACACTCTTCAAACCTTTATTTCAGGTTAATCTAGAACCTTCTCTCACCAAAAAGTTGTTTTGTGCCTTTTCGGTTCATTAAATGAAGAGGAAGAATACTCCATATTTTATTATGTTCAACTGTTTATTAGAAACCATTTGTCTAGTATCAATATCTTTGTATATACCCGTAAATATCGAACGCGTGGGAGCTCTCTACAAGAGTAAGTGCGCTCTTTAACAGAGCAAACGCCGCATACAAAATTGTTAATATATTGAACGTGAAGACAGAAGTTCGTCGGAGTAGAACCTGCTTGTAATTAGTCTTGAGGAATGATCCATTCCTCTGCCACTTAAGACTGGTTTACACTATGAAGGTTTCTGTCATCACAGTAGGAATTTTGGAAAGGTAAATTCTAAGTTTTGAAGGATTTGTAAGAAATGTTTGAGGAAATTGACTCGGTGTTTAACAGTGGGTCATTTCCCTCAAAGATATCTTACAAATTCTTCAAAACTTAGAACTTACTTACAACTTGATTTAGGAAAATTCCTACTGTGATCACAGAAACCTTGATATAGAGTGTACACACCAGACTTTATACAAAGACAAATTATCACAAACGATCTATATCTTTTCTGCGCATGTATACAAGGTCGTCCACACGAATAGGATAGGACAGGATAAAACTTTATTTGACTACGCTGGCCACTTCAACCGGAATTGCTTTCCAAGTGGGGCGTAGATAAATTATGTTACAAAAATATATAAAATACAAAATCACTAATAATATTAGGAACTACGAATACAAAATACATATTACAAAACAAATGGTACAGTATGTCAGTAGTGAAATAGCTAATTCGTCAGACTAACAGAGGAAATATTTCTATTGAAAGAATTTAAAGATTCGCTGTTTCTGGCTTGTTCTAGCCTGCGTAGCAGTCGCTTTATTTTTTTAAATTTTATTTGAGGATATTTTTATTTGAGGATTTTTTTTCCGCTCTTTTTTTCGCATTAAAAAAAATCCTCAAATAAAAATATCCAATCCTCAAATAAAAATATCCTCAAATAAAATTTAAAAAAATAAAGCGACTGCTACGCAGGCTATACTTGTTCAGGAATGCTATTCCAGATTTTAACCCCACTATATTGAAAACATTTTCTGCCATACTCGGTATTTGGTCGTGGCAGAAAGAGAGACGAATTTGAACCTCGTAAATTATAACTGTGGATATGGTTAGAATTCTGGAACATTGATGAGAACCTCGATGGTGCCAAATTATTGACAACCTTAAACATGAGCCGGGCCATAATATGTTTTCGCCTTTCTTCCAAGCTAATCCACCCTAATTGATCAAGGGCCAGTTGAGAATGGATCCATCTTGTATTAATTTAGCCGCACCATGACGCACGATCCGTAAAACCATCTCTATACAGTAAGGCCCGTTTACATTTGCAATTAACGTGCGATTTTTTTTTATTAGTTTTACAATAAGAAATTGAAGGCACAGACAACAAGACTAATCACATAAGGGTACATATACTCAAAACATTCATAATTCAGCTACTCGTTCACATGTATCACAAGAAGAATATCGTACTAGAAATCGCAGAAAAAGTTGCAAGTGTAAAGCCTGTTTTCCACTACTATACTAGGCGAATTTGTTTGCGCAATGTGACTTTTTCCTTTTTTGCCATCGCTTATCACGTCTGATTTACAGTTTCATTTCCGTGTTTTTACGGATGCGATATACGATGTTCAACTTCAAATTCACTTTTATGACAGCGAGCAAATTATGCTAAATGTCTGCATTGCATGCGTGTATTTGCACGAAACACAATACATACTTGGACAATTCAGCCACTTTGATAACTGTCTATCCCGATCACCACGCGTGACAAACCACTGGTTAAACTTAGTGAGATCTGCCTATATAGCAGGAACTGGAACACCGTCTTTAGTGGAGGTCAATGCGGTTGTTTAGTAGCTGTAAATTATTCAAATGAGAAAACCTGTTTGTACGTCTTGCGGTGTTCACTCCGTGTAACTAAGTACTCAAAGAAGAAAAATTTGCATTTTTATGTTGTGATATGAGTTGGGCGGATGTATCAACAACTATATTATATGTCGACGTCGTCACAACGTAAAGGACATTGCCCTTTGGGTTTCTGTGTATATTGCTTAGGTTTACCATCGAAATAATGGAAGGAAAATATACTGGCGTTTAGACATGCAACGAGACAATAGGCTTAGCCAACCGCCCCGTTCCAAGTCGCTCAAAAGTTCAGTGAAACGCCGTGTTGGTCGATTCAGCCTTCGCAAGCTTTCCGCTCCAGATTCCCCTGAAAAGCAATTTGAGTCTGATTTTCCGAAACCTAGAGCCTCTGTGGTAAAGAGCAGGTCTCTGGGATCTTCCTGGTGAGTTTTCGGAGAAGTATTTGTATCATCTTTAAATTTCATGTATTATATATCCCCTCGTAATGAGTGTGTAAGAAATAAGTCGAATCGACTTTCCTGCTTTTGTGCCTTTTTAGCCACTTACTGTAAAAAAGCGAGCCTTATTCAGCTGTTTATATAGCAAAGTATAACGTGAATTCTATCATGTATTTATACGAATTTGAATTGCATCATTCGTGTATTATACCCGTTGTACTTTAATGCTGAACTATAGAAGTATAGTATAGTTCACGAATGAAATCATTCCGCGGTTAACCGTTTCTGGACATCACATTTCTGTGTTTTTTTTATTAATATGCCACTCGAAAAGCTCTCGTATAGCATATGTTGGGCTGTCTAAAACTTAGTTATTATGGTTTGGAGTCCAAAAGCATAATTACACATCGCAATTTACGAGGTGGTTTACGGCTATTTATGAATTAATAGTGGCAAATTGTTGTGTTCGCCGAAACCTCACTTAAAAATTAATATATTAATGCGAAATCTTTTCATCCTCGTGAACAGGTTGTTTAGAATTTAAAGCGATACACTGAACAAATAGTAGAGCTAGCGTCGTTTTACAGTATCGGAATAGTATATTGCTCAATTTGATAGCTCGGTGTCCTGTGCAGGTAAAGCGTTGTTTAAACAAAGATGTGTGTTTTTGACAGGCGGGATGCCTGTTGTTCCCAGTACGATGTGATCCCCGCCTTTGTTTGTACTTATAGATTATAGAAGACAGCTTTTGAATAATATGATAAATTGCACTGTTTTCTACGGATAGGCTTCCATTAATAGTTCAGTCTGGGTTAGATACGATAGCTAGCCTATGATGGCTAATTATAAGGCGTGATTGCTCCGTCATTTCAATTACAAAGTACTTGTTTGTAGGCCGTTCAAAATAGTATGATGAATAGCTAACATTGGCAGGCTTTAGTCAAGGTTACAAACAACACTTTGTAATTGAAATGACGGAGCAACAGTCTAAGACAAAGCATATATCGAGATATACAGTATATTTGTTCATACGTGCGTGATTTGCTGTAGCCTGTAGGCGAAATATACGCCGGGAAGATGATCAAGGCACAAGTCCGGCAGTCGGAAAAACGCTCTTCGACTTTGTCGTGAAGGCTATATTATAAGGAAGATTTTTTTTACTTTGTCTTTGAGTATGTTTTGAACATTGGAGTTCAAAGTGGAGTTTTTCAGTTTTCAAAATGAAATTAAGTATAGCCTATAATATAGGTTGGTGCCGATATTGTCTTCCTATCTATTGAGGTATTACTTCTTAGCCTTGCTATAAGTATAAGTCTTTTATAGCCGCCCTTAGTCAGGGCCGAGCCAAGGAACTTTTTGTTGATCGAACAAAGGCTCTTTGTCAAAGGCTCCTTGACAAAGGTTTCTCAATGCAGGCACTTTATATGTCGCCTATATTGACGAATTTCTAGCTTGATGTATTAAAATACAATTTTGATACTGTTTTTTCTTGAGATGATGCTCTCTGAATGCATCCACATGTACTTGAATGGCAAGCTGAAAATTTTGTTTGTTTGCGGTTGGGAATCGAACACGCGACTTTCATAGTTTGCTAGTCCAATGGCAATGATCTACCAACTGAGCTAGGACGTCGAGTCGGCTCGAGTTGGTGATATTTCGGCGTAAACCAAAGGTTGCTGATTGGATTCACCCATCGCTGGGTCAAGCAAGATTTTCAGACTACCCGATGTGGATACCAGTTCATAGAGGATCATCACAAATATCTTCACCTGAGACATACGACATAAGTTAGTATACATACACTCTAAAAACACCCTGTTTAAATTTCCTCGTTTCCACTGGTTCGTTTGCCGATCACTATCGCGCGGCTAATTCAACTAGCAGGATTCCTGGTTAATTTATAATCAGGCTAAATGGTTGAAGTAAGGTGGATGGCCGTTAACCAGAATGTATGGTTGCAGTATGTTAGCTGGATTATTAACCAGGAATCCTGGTACAGTTCAGCTTTTTGAATGATGCGCAATTCCAGCTTTTAGGGACCGGTCATTATTTATGGCGGGGGGTGGCACCGAAGAGAAAATGGTTGGGTAAACTAAATTTTGAGTAAGTAAAAGGGTTGGGTAAATGAAAAACAAAACAACTCAAGGGTTGGGTAATAAAAAGTTATAGTCATTTTCAAAGCATGACTCACTTAAATATTGGAGATTGAAAAGCAATGTCAACAGTCATATGTCAATACAATATGTGAATCAATCAGTCACTGTCTTGATCATTTTCCAATTTGTTAGAAGACAAATTAATGGTGCCTCCAAAGAAAGCACATGTGCAGACAACATGATACATTAAACTGCAGCAAATTAATTTCACAAGCTGAGTTATCAAACTCCTGTCACAGAAATCGGGTAAAGGACATATGTGACAACTGAATGGTAACCTTTTGTAAAGTTTAATTTTGGCCAGGGGTGGGTATTTATTTTTTACTTGATATTTGAGGTTGGGTAATCAAATTTTTGACTTTTTAATGGTTGGGTCAGCAAAATTTCTGCCACGAAAAACATTTCTCTTCGGTGCCACCCCCCACCATAAATAATGACCGGTCCCTTACTACGATGGGAAGTAAGGTATCACATTGCTGATTATGCTGAAAAAAATAGAAATGGTGGCCGTGTAAACACGGAGTGATAGCTTATACTTGTAAATATTGAAATATTCCGGTTGTTTCGGTAGTTTTTATTGACATTTTTCAGCATAATCAGCACCATGATACCTTACTTCCCATCATCCCCTGCAGGCATAAACTAAAAGCTGGAATTGCCTATTCAAGATCAGTGATTTCAATATTTTTAACATTTTTTTAACATTTTTAATGTTAAAAACATCGAGTTTGCTGATCTTGAATTATGCTTAATTGATTTTCCTAGTTATTTTTTTCAATTAAATTAAATTAAAAGGGTTGTAATGCGTATTAATGGTTAAACTAACCAGTAAGTTTAGCCTGCAGGAACGTTAAGTTACCTCAAACAGTGTTAATTTTAGATTCACAAGGAAATTTTGATCCAGGATGTTTTTAAGAGTGTACTACACTCACTGCGCGGTTTTGAGTGTTACACTATCTTGTTGACTAAATGGCTTTCCCAGAACTCCAGAGGCTCATCGTATGATCATCTCCTGATCTTGGAGCAACGCCAACGTATAGTTTCTGAGAGTGATTAGCAGTGATGAAATGTTACGAGAGTTTTATGGGAATAAGGAACTATATTAAGATGCGGTTTTTTTCAGTATCAATATTGATTCTGTTTTGACTTCGCACTCCGGCACACGTGGGAGGTAGTATCAAACACATGAAGCGAGATAAAAACCGAGTAAAATATGCATGAGCTTTCGTTGTAAAAACTGTGGACTGCTATTCGTTGAGACATTAAGAAAGTACAAACCTTGATACGTGTATAGAGTTGGCGTTAATAGTATAGCAAGTTTAAACTGGTCTAAGAGATTAAATAATTAAGAGAAAATGAAAGAGATTGGGCCGCTCTATATATGGGTAAAATTTGGCTACGAGTTCGTTCGTTTAAATTAAAGATCTTTCGGGAACACAGTCACGGGATGACGCGGAAATGGGATGAAAGATGAGAATATCACCGTTGTTTTTCAGTGGAGTCTGGGTTAGGGTAAGGAATTACATCGGTATACCGTACGTAAACGTGCATTATTTACAATACATAAATATAACAAGAATTAATGTATGCATATGGGCTATAGAAAGTGAAACATGAGAGGAATCAGGAAGTAAAGCGAATATAAGTAAAAAGAAGGAATCGGAATGATTCAGGAGACAAATATATACAGATACAACTACAACTATTTGTTACTCTAAATATTCCTCTCTAATCAAATACGTACATGACCGTGTTTATATATACAAGCTGGTATATAGGCTATAAATCAACACGATGTCACAGATGAAACTGTAACACTCTTGTTCTTTAAATATATGTCTTGTCAATTTTTTCTTGACAAGTTTTCCTTGCCAGCCATGCCAGCTTTTGGACAAGGAAATTAGTTCGTGTGTAAAACGCATTGAACTAGGTAAAACGTGACAAGTGTACACGAAATACTTCCATGCTTTTAATACTTTTGGCAAACAAAAGGTGGCCTTGACGTGAGATAAATCAGTTAACAACATTCCGTGTACACGACGACAGAACTTGTTAAGAAAAACTTAGCCTGCTCGCAGCCCGAAGGCTAGGAACTGATTCAGTGTCAAGGACTCGCAACAAAACTGTTTTGTTGCTTTCCTTGACAAGTTAACTTGTCATGGAAAACTTGTTGACCGCACACACGCGATCGTCTGAGCGCTTTATCTTTGATCTTTGCAGTTTTGTTTAATTATCGACGATACATGCAGGGAAGGTAGCCACTAAAAGTCTTTATAAAGAGTTGCAGACGTGTAACATTCCCCACCGAGCTTCTCACGGTGGGAACTCAAACGTGAAAATCACGATAGCAATTAAATCTCAAATTAAAGAAGTATTAACATTTATAAATTATAGTGATTATACAATGCGTTCTGATATAGCCTTTTGATAAATGGAATTTTCGCACGATACGTTATAACTTATAGTTATATACATGATTATCCAACCGCTCTCGCACCTGAAAACAATCAAAACACTCATCTTCGTCCCTGACGTCTTCCAGTGAAGAAAACGTGGGTTTCCCGCAGTTTTGTAGGTAGCCTGCGAACAGGCGTTTATTCACGGCCTCGTATTCGCAAGCTACAGTATAGGTGGCCGAATGAACGATGCACTAGAAACTTGAGGGATATTACAGGATACATAAGAACTTCGATCGAAGTGTTTACTGAAATCCATATATTTCCATGCAGGTTTTAGTTTTCTGCACTAAATAGCCGCATTCCGGCTATAACTTGAAAAACCAAAGACAAATTTGAGACACAAACGACGTTCTCACGCAGTACCACTGCAGTGCTGCACACTATGATATGGTAGTTTCGAAATCTGTTTTGGTTTACCACTATATAGTATATATATAATAACAAGACATAATAATTCCACTTCCCACGCAATCAACACATAACTTCCCACGTTGATTTCCAAGTTATGCGGCTCGCTGTATTTAGTGCAAACAACAAAATCCAAATAAAAACATGGATTAACCTTTGCTAACTGCTCACTGTCAGGTGTAAAGTCCTGTTCAAATAATGTTCCGATGTTGGTCAAATATTGACAATATTGTTGGACGATGTCGTACAACGGTCCGGCAATGTTGGATCTCGATTCGCGTTAATTAGCCCGTGTCCCGCAAATTATTCTGGAGCCTTGAAGTTGAAGGAGGGTTTCCAATAGACTTGAAGTGGTGCTTAACAAGAGAAGCTAGTGCAGCTGTAGTATATAGCCACCGACAAGCAAATATAAGCTTGCTGTCTCCATTTTGAGTATTTTAAAAAATAAATTTAAGAACTCGTCATCTCTTTTTTCACCTTCCGTAGAAACACCGGACATAACACTATTTTAGACGACCTAATCAGTTTGTTTACATGCGTGGGAAACGTACGTTCAGTGCAAAACTTGAACCAAATATGTCAGTGAAATTTGTCAAAAAAACCCGATAGAAATTGCTCATGCAGTTGACATGATCGAACATGCTTTAGATGGGAATCATAAATTTGAATTAGATCCTCTGGAGTTAAATTTACGCATGTCAAATTGGAATGTTGATTTTGAGTCCAGAGTTCAGAATTTGTGACATTTTAATTTGTATGATAGATTCGTCGCGACAATATTCCGTGTACTTACGATGGATAAAACTTGCCTCCAATCTCTGTTGGCTCGTTAGCTCAATAAGTAGAGTTCAAATTCCGCTCGCTTGAGTCAACTTCGATCTACAGTTGGTTCGACAGTGTCATAAATCATGTTGGAAATTTTTTCTTCATTTTTTCCTGAGGATGGATTTGTCCTTCTCGTAGGAGTTTGGGGTGCTTCACTTTTTCTCAAAAGGCTATATAAAGTAGATGCAATGACAAGTTGGAGGGATTTTCCCAAAGAATAAATGTTTCGTATTTCTCTGATTATAACTGTGAGATCACCAGCTCAATTTGAAACCGATAGAACAATCTAAGCATAAATAAAATTAGTGTAGTTGAAATTGTGGTTGGAGGTTTTGGTCCACATTTGTGAAAAGCAAGCACACGTCATCCACACACAACTTGCCTCAAGCAAGAATATCAAATTGAGAATAATCTCACCAAAAACCAGTCGGTAACCCAAACCCGGAAACGCACCTCAATTAACATAAGTCGCGTCACCAAGGGTAAATACCGAATTCACACACAAACAACTAATAGCGCACATCCTGCCCGCATATAAACTGACAGAGTAAATCTTCTCTGCGTCAAAATATGGTTCGCCGTCGCAAATACAGATTGGCAAGACTGAAGCCTGATTTTACCATTATCACAGGGTAAGCTTTCTACCGTATTTATCACAAAGCAATTTCGTTTTGATGAATTCGATCTTATCAAAACTATAACCTGAACGGCGCCGTCAGATTTATATTACATCGCATTTGGCGTTGTATTAATATATTATCCCCGTTCTAAAATATTATCCCGACTCAAATATTACATCCGTTCCAAACTTAACCATTGATTGAACGTTTTTGTAGTAGTTTCAGCACATTGACCTTTCATATTGTGAAAGTATTTAAGATCAATTGATGTTCAATCAATAAAACTAACACGACCCACCCCATTATTGTACAGAACGCCGTATTAAGATATTTTGACTTTCTTATCTTTGATAATATTCATTCGTAAATTGTACTATCCCTGAACAAAATATATAAACGCGATTTGTGAGAATACGAGCCATTTCTAAACGCTAGTTTTAGATATTTGTATGGCAAAGCGTGCCCTATCATATTTCACGTCAGAAGTTGTAAAAAACAATTGTCGGTCCATCACCTGTTGGGCCATGGACAGTGTTGTATGATGAGTCGGTAGAATATAGACCTCCAACAATAATGTTAGCCCAACATGCTGAACTAGTTTTATCTTTTTTTAACTATCCTTAGTCGAGTTAATAGACATTTACGTCCAGTTTATAGACATTTATGGAGAAAATTTCTGTAGCAATGCATAATATCGTTAATGTGGATCTATTTTATTACAAGTGCAAAATAATCGTGCGTTCGAGCGTGCGTTTGCGCACGCATCGGATTCAGATGAGAAAATAAAGTTGCGCATTTCGTGTAAATAAAGTTGCGCTCGAATTCATTGCTTCAACGCGCTGCCAGAAATCGCATTGTTCTCTACAGGACGGGGGCGTAAAAGTGACAGGCAAGGGTTGGTGTGGTCGATGTGGATAGTTCTATAAGTTTCTGTGGTTTGTGTCTGACTACGTGAAAAGTCAGACCAGATTCAAAGCATTTCAAAGTTAATTGGGAATATTAGTATAGAAAACTGCAAGTTGAGGCCTGACAAGTTCTTTAGATTGATGTGTTTTTATATAGCTAGTGTTTAGTTTATCACCCAAAGTCATTCATAGTAAAAGTGAAACTACTAATGAAATTGTTGCAGACTAAGCAAGCACTATCGTGCAACAGCTGGTGTCAACTGCAATCAACTGCAGTTATCAGAGAAAATAATGTTAGTTTTTCATTATATGTAGTAGCCAACGGGGGTCTATAAAAAGATGTGTCTTTGACATAATCCGGCACCCACTCAAAATTTATTACCATCATGTGATTTTCACGCAGCAATCTCTCAATTTTATTACCATATATTTGATGATAAAATTGAGAGATTGTTGCATGAAAATCACATGATGGTCGTAAATTGCCAGATTATATCAAAGAGACATCTTTTTATGCGGCATTGCAACCCCCAAAAAAGCGTTTTGCAGCAAAACGAGTCAGCCTAACAATCAAAGATTTTTGTTGTTGAAAAACGGGAAACGTTGGCGTTTAAACACGTCTTGTTTTATTATAACTAGTTACTATGTTTGAACTTTAATGGCTGTTTGATTGCAATTTAATAACCATTTAATAGCGTTTTTTAACAAAAAAACCTCTTGAAATTAAGCCGTCGAAAGGTTTTTTGTTTGTATCGGTTTTTCAGACAGGATTATAAATTTTACGTAAGCTTGTCTAAATTCAGTTTGCAAAGTTTGTCGGCCGGTTGAAGGAGTAATCTTTTAATACATGTTTATTACTGTAAAAAGATGTGATATACATTCCAGTTTATTTCGAGGTCAATGGTAGTCAGAAAATTTTTTTTAGCGACTTGTATAAAGACCTATAAACGGGTAAACAAACTCTAAACTCATTTTGGAGTAGTTTTAATGGTAAAATTTAAAAACACATGTTTAATAAGGCAATTTTCATACATATTTTAAAAATACAAAGAAAGTTCTACAAGTTTTTACGCAGCTGTATTTTGGCAGTTCGCCCGAGCTCATTAATATTCATCATGGCGGCTGGAACTAAAAGACCTAAAACTCCCTTATTATAAAACATGAATTTTTCATGAACAAACGTTAGCATCATTTTGACAACAATTGAACCTTACCTTGGAAATAGACTGTGAACGTTACGTAAGGAAATTAAACTCGGGAGTATTGAATAGACATTGGGTCCGTCGGAAAACTTTAAAAAAAACGGAAAACTTTTCCTTAGACCCGACAAACTGGCCTTCAATTGAGAATTGACGTTGTACTTTGTTAAGGATCGTTCTGGGCTGCTCTTCAATTCAAGTGGCTGAATTGTCAAACTCAATACATCAATGTCGAGCGTTCTTTCGTGTATTGTGCTGCTTTTATGACTGTTATATTTTATAAGTCACTCATGGCAACAAATTGTTAGCAGAGCTAAAGGCGTTTTGCGAAAGCGTTTGAATAGAAGGAGCTTCATATTTATATTGTGATATTGACGGGGTTTCCTTTGTAGACTTTCATTTATCCGTGTGACTTTTGGTTGACCAGGAAATTTTGGAGCTTAAGAGACAAACTATTACTGTAAAGAATTTAATTACATGAACCACGAATTGATTATGACAAAATTTACCATACGCTACCGAAGTTGCAATGAATACTGCTTGTAATTTTTGCTTTTGTGTGTGTTGAACGCCATGAACTTGAATGAGTTTGAAACGCTTTGATCCGTGTCTAATTTTGCAATTTCGGCGTTTTATTACGGCGGTATTTCGTGTTCATCAATGGCTCACAGAGACAGATGCGTTTCAGAGAGCAAAAGGTATAAAAAAATTTTTTTAAATGTTTTAATACTAGAAAAAGATGCGAAGCGAAATTTGAATTCCGCTACGTCAAAACATATGCATACGAATTTTCGCTTGAATATTTAAAACAAAACAAGTAGCGTTTCAAAATTCTAGTAATATATAATTGAAAAGTAGGAATTCACGGTAAAATAAAGACTTTTTTACTATTCAGAAAATTATTTGCCAAAAGGCAGAAAGTTTTAATAAGTTAATCAATATTAAACCAAAAATTTAAACCATCTCTTAAACTATGCAAGAAATGCTGAAAATTCGGTTATAAAAGTTTAATAGAATCGCTAGTTCAATATTTATCTTGCTTCACAGGTTATTCCATTTTGTGGCATTAGTTTTGTGTACATAGTTTGTTAAAATATAATGTTGATTGATTGTTTAGGTTGACAGCTGACAATTTGTTCAATTATATTTTGCTCACAGCGTAATTCATTTGTTGAGAAGTTCATTTTCTTGGCTCCTAATTGTTTTTTGCAATGCATGTTTTATTTTGCTCCATAAAGCTGCAATATGATAGAATGTTCTCCTCTTCATATATCACTCTGTCTAATAATACCAGGTGACTTTACTTATGAGGGGAAAATGTTGGGTTTCAATGGGTTTTCTAAACTATTTACCCATGCCACTCATTTTTGACAACCCCTGTAATTTCTATTTTATGTAAATATAGGTAGGGGCAATTGCCCCACCTAAATAACTATCTAGCTACCCATGTTATCAGCCCAGTCTTTGGTGTTAATGCAGGTTTATGAGCATATGATGGGTCATTCCAGAAAACATCCATAAATCCCCCATGGAGGAAATTAACCCCCCTCCCCCTACCTCCTTTGGATGTCCTAATACACTTGCTATTATCAGAAACAAACTTTTTCTCCCCTCCTCTGGATGGCAGAAATTTCCTCCTTGGGGGGAGTGTGGACCTTTTCTAGTTTTCTGGGACAATGCAATTGCCAGGCAGATGAATGTTAAAAGCCTTTATTGTTTTTTAGTTCCCCATCATTGGATCTTCCAAAGAAGAATCCAGTGCTAAGTAGGAAGCACTATTATGGCTCCACTGAAATGGTATGCACAATGCTGGACTGCTTACATTACCAATAAAAGCTTCTTTGCACTTTTGCATCTTTTACGTGTTTGAATTTCTGTCTTCATTTTCAGCTACAGTATAATAGTTCCAGAATGTTGTCCATCTTTGTCGCTTGTGATGTCCTCTATCAGTTCCATGATATTTAGACAAGTCTTCTTTTTAACACAGTCCTTCAGTAATGTCCATATCATCTACGCCTAGCCTGTTGCTTGCCTGTCTATAGAGTTTTTGTTGTTGTTAATTTTCTAGCTGTGTAACCCAAGAGCAGGAAGCGAAAGTAATGGCAGTCATTTTCGAAGTCCATTGAGATTCAGAGTGGAAAATGGCGAGATTGATAAAGTGGATTCTGAACAGGTACACTGATGCATATGATCTTGAACAGTCTGTTCCAGTGTAGGTGGTGGCAATAATACGAAAGCTTCATGACATTTGCTTCTCCGTCTTCTCCATTATTTCCCTGTCAAGCCATTTCCCTGTCCAGTCATTACACTGTCTCAATGGACCTATTCTCTAATGAACAAAATTTTGATCTAGACAAGTCTGGACACAAATTTCATCACAGCTTGAAAGAGCATCACAAAATTAGTAATATTCCGAAGTTTCGTTGCGAAATGTTGTAAAATGTGAATAACGTAGCCTTGCGAAGTTTGCCTTTTTTCAGTCATTTTGTATTACGTGCGAGAAATTGATACTTTTTTTCAGAAAGCGGTATCAATTTCCCATGCATAATACAAAATGACTGAAAAACGGCAAACTTCACAGGGCTATATTATCCGCATTTTACAACATTTCGCAACGACACTTCAGAATATTACTAATTTTGTGATGCTCTTTCAAGCTGTGATGAAATTTCTGTCCAGACTTGTCTAGATCAAAATTTTGTTCATTAGGGAATAGGTCCATTGGGGCTGATCAACAGCTCTAAACTTAAAATGTGCAACTTTTAGCAGAAATCAATTCTGCAGCCTTGCCAGATGTTTCACTCGGACCATCCACTCAGAAACCTTGGACATTGTGTTGGCTAGTGCATGATATTTCTGATGCGTGTTTTTATTTTCAGTATTTTGACAGTGTGAAGGGAAGTATGGTTCATTTAGAGAATCCTGAATGGCAAACAAGATGGTATTTTAAATACTTCTTGGGAAGATGTAAGTTGAATATTTTACTTCTGGGAAGGCTTTTGTAAATGGAATTTTTGAACACAAATTTACATACATTTTTAAAATGAAAAATGCAACTACAGGCCTTGAACCTGCAATTCTGGTGCCCAAAATTTTCCTTTAATTTTGAGCTTTGCAATACACCGAAAGAAAAAGTTTCAATTTTTGTTGATTATATTTAATATTTATTTTGTGCTCTTGATATTATTTAGTACATCAGAATTATATTGGTCTCGATGTGGAGAAAAATCCATTTGTCCTTTCTGTTTGTGTGACTGAAGAAGATAATTACGAAGTCTTACAATACAGAACTATCTTATGGAAAATGATGGTATGGCCTTATAAACATACTTGGACTGTGTTTGCTGGATCCAGGGGCGTAAATGTGGGGGGGGGGGTGTAGGGGGGTGGTTCACCCCCCCAGAGAAATGACCCAGTCGGTCTCAAACTACGTGCAGTCGGTCTCAAAATGATGCGTTTGTTTACATGCAGTGCTTTGCGAAGCAAATTAATTTTTTTCAAAACTCGAGATAGACTCAGACTATTGAGTATTGAGTTGGAAATGTGCTCAAATGGATCAAACAGCTCAGAAGTAATATGAAGAAATATTACGTACTTATTTCGCGAGTTTATGAACGAATTATCATTCAAAACACGTGCAAAGGGATGAAATTTTCATTTACATTCCAAACATGCTTACATGCATGAGATATCTATATGTCACAATTACGTGTTGGCACTTTTATTTGGAATTTAGGTTCTGCAAGGTCATTCACAGGTGATATTCTATATTAGCGAAAATTTCAAACCCCCAAAATCAGACTCCAAAATGCGATGAATCTCGATCAAAATAGCTAACATTAGTTACAATATTTCCAGTCCCTAAACTATATTTTTAAGATGTAAAGTGCAAAAACAAATTTCTAGCCGAGTTATATTAGGAAGTATGTTCACATGTAACACGATAATTATGCATATGCATTTTGTTACCAAAGAGTTGATGTGCCTACTGCAATCAAGAAATTCGATCAGTGAACGACGCACTGGTTTATCTGAAATCACGGAGGGAAAAATTGTTTCCACTGACTACGCGATGTTTCCAATTGTTGCTTACAGTCAGGCCCATAACTAGGTATATGAGTCAATCGAGCTCAAGCTCAGTGACAGACTGTATAGTTCTCTCAATGTAACGAAGCATTATTCTTGCCTTACAGTGACGTAAGAAATGGGAGGCTGTATGGGTGCACAAGTACCCCAATAACAAAAGTGCGGGCCAGCGCCCAAATTTTACAACAATTGAGCACAAACCCTTTTTATTATGCACCTGATCAATGATGTTCGACCAAAAATATTTGTAATTCTTAGCCTCAGGATTGGAGGAAAACAACAGCATAAAATTATAGTCATTGTGTCACTGTTTATGAAATTGATATTTTGTTTGAACTGCTCCCAGAATGCAGGAAATAGCGTTTCTAAGCCTTAGAAAATCAAAAATTTTCTGGGGGAGCATGCCCCCAGACCCGCCCCAGAAGTGTCTCGGTCAATCAAAAATCCTATAGTTACGCGCCTGACAGAAACTGTAACATCCGCATTTGCCGAGCGCAGCTTTTCAAAGCTGAAATCAGTGAAATTAAAACTGTTATGCGTTTAGTAATGAACCAGGAACGCCTCGGTGAACTCTTGACTCTTTGCGTGTGAGCGCGATCTAACAGACACGATCGATCTTGACGAAATCGCTAATCCGTGGTCAAACCTGACTAAGCGCGGACACTTAATAAAAATATAACGTTTCACAGCAAACTGTACGTGTTCTTGCAAAATTCCTAATAAATGCCATCAATTTCCATGCTTTGTACTCAATTTTATTGCAACACGCCAACTCACCAAGAGTCGGCCTGGATTCACATTTCAGTGGTGAGTCGGTCTCATTTCGTGATTACACCCTCCCAGTCAAAATCGATATGTCCGCCCCTGGCTGGATCTTCTGTTGATGAAGTAATAGAGAGGTTCAGATAATGATTTCCACTACCTTTCACATGCTTAATTAATACATATTTAATTCGTGATTCTCCTTATTACGTTTTCGTAGCGCTTTGCATTGTGGTTATAGTGGTATCACTGATAAAGATAGCGGCCTCGAATGAAAATATTGAATGTTTTCACAAATATTTTGCTGTTGGCTATCGCGCACCTGACCCTAGCTTTTTTTTAATAAAAGTTCTTGCACTGGTCAGGACAAAAAATAAGCCATCTTGAATATCAGTGATACCACTACAACCACAATGCAAAGCGCCACGAAAACGTAATAAGGGGAATCGTGAATTGGTTAAATAATCAGGTAGATTAAATGCATCTGGTTGGGTAATGGTAGCTGTAGTGGAAATCAAGATCTGAACCTTGTTAATATAATATGAATATGACAATAATATTATCTGTTTTTTATTAGGGAAGCGAGAGAAGATGTATTCCTTATGATCCAGGAAAACCACTCTCGTCTAAGGCAATTTTACAGTAAGTGTTTTGTTTGAAATGTCTATATATGGAATTCAAGGTGTATATTGACCCATTAAGTTGCATTGCACCCTAATGTACCCCAATTATTTTACTCTATCTATCACCAGATTATTTTACTCAGATGTCTAATGCTAGACTATCTTACTTGTCAAGGAAGAGTGCTCAATTATTTACTTGCTTTCATAGATATTGCTACAATGTCAAAATTGACAAAGGAGCAAAGGAAATTTTAAGTTCAGAAATTCAAAAGGTACAGTACAGTTACTATAATAAAAAATAAACATCTAGGTAAACAATACGACTACTTAGTTGCTCTTAACCTTATTGGTATTGGTGTTATAGTATACACCTCTTATATTATAGAAACTTTGTATCTTATGTTTCTCCAAATACCTTTATCTCACTTTTCTTATTTATCTTTTTTAGGAACTTCTTGTTCTTGAAGACCAAGAGGTATTAATCATCCTTAATTAATAATAGTACTGAATGTGATAGCTTGCCACTAGAGAACTGGTTTACAAACAGAATTCTGTCTTTCCTTTAGGGGTCAGTAAATTTTAAATTTGGTGTTCTTTTTGCCAAGCAAGGACAAACCACTGATGATGAAATTTTAAGCAATGGTAAGTTTAACGCCTGTATTCTAAGAGCTCACTCACACTCAAAGAGTGGAGGTTCAATCTGAGCTTCCCTTGAGTGTCAGTGCTGTTTTTGAATAGCTGGAGGGCAAGTAGTCACATGGTAAGGTACAAAACTAACCCTCCAGCTTTTCAAAAACAGCATTGACACTCAAGGGAAGCTCAGATTGAACCTCCACTCTGTGAGTGTGAGTGAACTTTTAGAATACAGGCGTTTAGAATACAAGTTTTTTTTCTTTCCTTATCTTGCATTCATTTCTCCTTTTCATTCTACATTTTTGCCTTTTTTCATTTAGAAAAAGAAAGTGACACTTTCGATAATTTTCTAAAATTGCTTGGGGATCGAATCCCTCTCAAAGGATGGACTAAGTTCAGAGGAGGGCTTGATGCAAAAAGTATGTTTATTATTCTTCACGCTAAAAACAATACCTGGGTTTCCTGTTTCACCACCCTACCTTGCTTTTGGCCACCGAAATCACCGACCCTGTCACCCTAAAATTTGACTCGCTAAAAGAGTTTGGCTATATATCTACTATCTAGCTTTATAAAGTACAACCTATTTGTTTCAAAATTGATATAATATTTAACAAATGTTTGTGCCATCTGTGCTGCCGTAATACTAATGGGCCATTTGCATTATAGACTAAATTTTGATCTGGACAAAAATTTCATCACAGCTTGAAAGAGCATCACAAAATCAGTAATATTCCAAAGTTTCGTTGCGAAGTGTTGTAAAATGCGGATAATATAGCCTTGCGAAGTTTGCCGTTTTTCAGTCATTTTGTATTACGCACGGGAAATTGACAGCCCAATCGGATGTTGGGGCATCAATTTCCCGTTTGTAATACAAAATGACTGAAAATTGCAAATTTTGCAAGGCTACATTATCCGCATTTTACAACGTTTCGCAACGAAACTTTGGAATATTACTAATTTTGTGATGCTCTTTCAAGCTGTGATGAAATTTTTGTCTAGACCAAAATTTAGTCTATAATGCAAATGATCCATTGACGTAGAATATCACTCTCATGCATGAGAATTTATAAAAAAAATTGAAAAAAAAAGAAAACCCTACAAGAAATACGACACCCAGGTATGTTTTGGAGTTTTCTTTCTGCTCTTAAGGCAGATTTACACTACACAACTTTTGCCTAAAACTGTCGCATCCAACCTGCTTACAACTGAGTTGTTCTGTGTGAATTAATTAAAAAATCTTATCTATTTGTTTTATATAATAAACAGAAAAGCTTACGTTGTTGTAGACGAGTTGTGCACTTGATTTACACAGTACAACTCGAGTTGTAAGCAGGTTGCATGCGACAGTTTTAGACAAAAGTTGGCTTTACAGTCAACTCGGCCCACTAACCAACTCGGCCCATCGTTCAAGGACCAACTCTGCCCGCTTGTAAACTGACTTTAATCTAACCATTAAACAAGCTAGGAACCATGACTGTGTTCTATCTTTGCAAATTTTGAGAGAGATTTGAATGATCAGTAATTTAGTATCAAAACGGACAGATCGAGAATTTGAAACTTCGATAGATTCTTTAATTAAATTAAGTCAAACTGGATGTTCTCAAACTTTACTCATCTGTACGCCCAATGCAACTGCAAATGGATGTATTGGTTTGGTGCTATCTTTTGTAAAATATTAGCTTTCCTAATATGTCAAACAGTAGTTAAGACAGTTAACAATGGACCATTCCCCAATTAACCAAAATTTTGATCTCAACAAGTCTAGACAAATTCCATCATAGCATGAAAGAGCATCACAAAATTAGTAATATTCCAAAGTTTCGTTGCGAAATGTTGTAAAATGCGGATAATATAGCCTTGCGAAATTTGCAATTTTCAGTCATTTTAGATTACAAACGGGAAATGGTTACCACTTTTCCAAAATTTTGATCTAAACTAGCCTAAACAAAAATTTCATCACAGCTTGAAAGAGCATCACAAAATTAGTAATATTCCAAACTTTCGTTGCAAAATGTTGTAAAATGCGGATAATAAATTATACCCTTGCGAAGTTTGTAATTTTCAGTCATTTTGTATTACGCACAGAAGTGGTAACCATTTCCCGTTTGTAATCTAAAATGACTGAAAATTGCAAACTTCGCAAGGCTATATTATCCGCATTTTACAACATTTTGCAACGAAACTTTAGAATATTACTAATTTTGTGATGCTCTTTCAAGCTGTGATGAAATTTTTGTCTAGACTTGTTCAAAATTTTGGTTAATTGGGGAATGGTCCATTGGGCCAAGATGGTATGGGCCGAGTTGGTCAATGGGCCGAGTTGACCAGCTTCCCAAAAGTTGTGTAGTGTAAATGTGCCTTACTGAATTTATCAGTGGAAGCTGATTGAGATATTGTTCTTCACTTGCTAGGCAACATGACAGGTTCAATGTCCGTTCATACGCACTACGAAGGCCACGAAATCATGTTTCACGTCTCGACACTTTTACCATTCTCTGACGATCCACAACAGGTATATGGGAAAGATAGGATTTTATTAATTGAGTTGGGGAAACTAAGAGACTGTTTGTGAAGAAGTATCGCACATCAACAAGATTTAAAACTGAGAATTGCTCGCTGTTCTGTAGGTTGAACGAAAACGACACATTGGCAACGACATTGTAAATATCGTATTTCAAGAATGTGAAAGTCACGAGAAGCCTACGTTCACACCTTACGGAATTCGCTCGCAGTTTACACGTATCCTTTTCTATATACATAAAGTTGAAATGTCACATATTATGGGCGACGTATGAAAAATTGCAGATTAGACGTTTTATGAAAAGGTCCTTAGGTATAAAAAAAATATCTTGCGATTCCGGTTTTATGTCCCGAAAAAATTAGGGTAGGTAGGTGGGAAGATTTGCCTTAACAATCTGGATCAGATATTTATGCTCTTGTCACATACTCAAGATCAGAAGACACATACAGGTAAAGTAGGGATGCTGTGTACTTAAACAAATAGATAAGATTTTGCTGTTGTCTGTTCGGTTTTAGATACACAGTATGACGTCATAATGTGGGAAGGAAAAAAAGTGGCTGCGAGCCGCCAAGGCGAGTGGGTCACTTTTTTGTTCTGCCCACATTATGACGTCATATTGTGTATCTATAACTGAACAGACAACGGCAAAATCTTATCTATTTGTTTTATTTAATAAAAAGAAAAAACCCAAATTAAACTGGTGCTGAAATAGCTTACTTTTTATCCACCCAAACATTTGGAAATTTGAAAAAGTCAAAATTTTACAAATGTCACGCGCCCATGATCTATACAAATAAGGGAATGTATTGGCTACCTTACTTGTGACGTAATTTTGTGCATCTGTCCTCTAATAGATCATGGCACTCGACCAATGAAAGCGCTTGAATTCTTAACGTTATTATGTAATAGTGCATACGACATGTGTGTGATTCACCACTGAGGTTTGATTGCAGATAAAAACTGATGGAACTGTCTGATAATCTTAAACTGTCTGTTCCAGTGTAGGTAGTGCTATCAAATGAACAAGCTTTCGTTGTAGAGATGCATCTACCTGAAAAATATAAGGAGAATTTCGACGTTTCGAGCGAGCCTGCAAGGCTCTTCTTCGCGCTAGTACAGTAACTCCAGACGAAGGGCCTTCGCTCGAAACATCGAAATTCTCCTTATATTTTTCAGGCAGTTGCATCCCTACAACGAAAGCTTGGAACTGTCTGATTCTGTTACTCTTTTATTTTTGTATTTATATTTTTTATATATTATTTGTTCTCCAGAATCACGGTATTCTCAGAAATGAGTGTTCCAGCGTTTGGTCCTCCGTTACCATCTTCACCTGTTTTTACGAATCATCAAGAATTCCGAGAATTTCTGCTTGTTAAAAGTAAGTAATGGTGACATTTTTGTGGCGGCAACAGGTCATGGGCGGATTTACTGAGGAGGTTGGGGGGGGGAGGGGTTAAACACCCTTGAATCTCTCTAACCCCTCTTATAAAGTGTTCAACCCCACCAAAATTTCGCTTCACCCCTCCTATTTTGTGTGAAAGTCTTTAACCCTAACCCCTGCCGAAGCTCCCTCAGTGGTGCCGCTTGCACCCCAGTAGAACATTTTCCACCCCCCCTCGGACTTTTAAAAAAATATGAAAATCCGCTCTTGCAACAGGTTGTGAAAATTGACGTGAACGTATATGTCTGACCATTTCGTTTCTCTGTAGTGATCAACGGTGAAAAAGCGACGCATCTTACTCCTACATTCAGCAAACGTCGACATCGAACGCTGGAAATGCTTATCAATAACTTGGTCAACACTCATTTACCAGCTGAGGTACTAAACGTTTTCATTCGACCTTTCATATAAGTGGGCTAACACCTCCAGTTGTGTAAATCCTGGAGAGTTTTTTTGGGAGGGCGGGGGGGGGGGGACCTCCCTAATGTTTGAGAAAAGCAATTTTGTAGGGCAAATATTCGATAATTTGTAGGGCAAAAATACATTTAAATCATGTTGAGTAAGAACAAGAAAACCTGGACGTCCAGTTTGAACAATTTTTAAAATTGCTATTCTAATATACCTCGTATATACCCCCATATTCTTCGACGCTACTCCTGCGGGCACTCGTAAACGTTCTTAGTTTTCCCAGCATCTGTACCTTCTTTTCCGACCACACCCTGTTTTGTTGGGCAAACGACTCCACACCCCGTAATGTTTAAACCCTAGTTACGCCCGCGAGCACCTCCTTGCTGCAGATAATTCAAGTTCCAATCTTTTTCTGTTACTGTGATTGTTTATATTTCAATTATTTTTCAGAAAACGAAAGCTCGACGATTTACGAACACACTGTCAGATTCAGCCAAGACAAAACAGCAGAAAGAGAACGAGAGACAAGAGAAATTTGTATCATTTGGCCAGGTAGGTAAAGTTTCTATACTCCAACGCTCTGTATCAGCTTGGGTAGTTACAATAGGGACTTTACTAAGATTGACGTTTGCGGCAAACCGCTAAACCCAAACGGCAAACTTCAATCCGTATTTGAAAGCAAGGCCTACAGTTTCGACAGCTATGTCGAACGCATTAAAAACAATAGATAATCAGCTGAAATGCCTCATTATCTATTGGTTCTAATGCGCTCGGCACATGAGAAGCGCGACGTTCGAAAAAGGCCTTAGCTGTCGAAACTGTAGGTCTTACTTTCAAATGCGAATTGAAGTTTGTCGTTTGGGTTTAGCGGTTTGCCGTAAACGTCAATCTTAGGGCGCTTTCCATTTAATGGCCTGACCGATCAGACCCAAAATCTTTTCTCTGTATCAATGGAAAGATCTGGTCTATGTTTCTCAAATATCTAGCGAAAATGGACCTCATTCTAATGTTATCTAAATTTTCCGCTAAGATAGGTCCGAAGCCCAAATGTTTTGTGTTCCATTCAACAATTTGACCGTAATGGAAAGCGCCCTTAAAGTCCCTAATAACACGAGAAAGCTGTGGATTGGGAAGGATTCAACTCCCTGAAAAATACAAAACTTCGACGTTTTTAGCGAAGGCTCTTCGTCGGAAGTTAGTAACCATTTTCTGCTGATATCGTTCCGTAATTGAATAGACCTTTCCCCTTTTGAGTGAAATTTTGATCTAGACAAGTCTGGACAAAGATTTCATCACAGCTTGAAAGAGCATCACAAAATTAGTAATATTCCGAAATTTCGTTGCGAAATGTTGTAAAATGCGAATACTATAGCCTTGCGAAGTTTGCCGTTTTTCAGTCATTTTGTATTACAAATGGGAAATTGATAATCAGTTTGATCATCTGATTATCAATTTCCCGTTTGTAATGCAAAATGACTGAAAAACGGCAAACTTCGCAGGGCTATATTATCCGCACTTTACAAGCTGTGATGAAATTTTTGTCCAGGCATATCTAGATCAAAATTTCACTCATAAGGGGAAAGGTCTATTAATCATTTATGTAATTTCTTTACGTAGAAACTGAAAGCAAACTTAATCACAGCTGAGGTTCCAGCACGTTTTGTGAGTAATGGCTTGGGAGTGACACGTTCTGAGGTTAGTGAGGCACTTCCTAGTTTATATGGTAGAAACTTTGGCAGATAGCACTGCCTTTGGTCTCGATAATACTTTTCATTTTATGCTTTACCCATTGAGTGGCAGCAGTCTCCCCTTGACGAGTAAACTTGTCTGGCGTTAGGCAGAATAAAATAATAAATGCGGGTGCATTGTCACTTAAAGGGTTAACTTTTGTTTCTTTTCCCTTGCAGCCATGGGAGCCACAGTGCATATGTAATTATTTTCCAACCAAAGTTACCTGTGGTGACTCGTGGGGTTAGTCAACAAACTTCGAGTTTCTATTCGTAATGTTTCTGGTCCTGGGTCTGGGATTGTAACAGTTTATACTAAAAAAACCTTGAATTGTTGTAGGTGAAGGCTTGATCTTGGGTACGGAAGAGGGTGTATTCAAACTAGTTGGTAAGTATTTGATTCATTCATGAATTAACAAAATGTTCGTTGAAAATGTTGTGAAATCATATGAGTAAACCATCAGGACTCAGTTACGATCTCCGTGTGTGTCCCACTGGGGCAGAATTAACCCATTGAGTGGCCACGCTCTCCCCTTGACGAGTAAAATTGTCTGGCGTTAGACAGAGTAGAATAATAAAGTAGGGTGCATTAGGGTGCAATACAACTTAATGGGTTAACTAGACACATGGGCAGATAGTGTGATTAACCCATTGAACACCAGCACTCTCTCTTTGACGAATAAAATCGTCTGGCATTAGACAGAGTAAAATGATAACGTATAGGGTGCATTGGGGCGCGATGCAAGGTTAATGGTAATTTTCTTCTTAATTCCTAGGGGGTACGATAAAACAACTTTTTGACAAGACAGTTGATGTCAAACAATTGTTCGTTGATGAAGACCACGGTTTGTTGGTCCTTCGAGCTGACAAAGGTTTGTCATTTGTTATCTTCGTCCGTTTTTCAACCGCGGTTTCCTTATCCTCCTCTATTATTTATGTGGGTTTTTTTTCGCTTTATGTTCTGCATAGGTCGAGATGGTAAGGTGTGCGTGTTTGCGTTGTGTGATTTTGATGAACTGAGCAGTGATCAGCCAAAGACAAAGTTAGATTGCAAGGAACACAAACTGGAGAAAGCCAAAGGTAACATACAATCATACATGTTTAGTATTTTTGCGCAAGTGAATATAACAAATCCTACAAGTTGATTGGTCAAATTTGATCTATTAAGCTATTATATTCACCTACTACTGGGGCCGGTTGTTCAAAGGTGTGTTAACGCTAACCCTGGGTTAAAATTTAATCTGCTCCTGGTCAGGTGCGCATCCCTCATTCCCTCTGCCTGATGATTTTGGAAACATCGTTATTTGCATTCAAAGCCTCTGCATTAAGGGGTAGTGTCACGGCGCCGATTGGCTAAAATAAACGACGCAAAGAAACGTTTAAAATTAATGCTACATGATTGGAAAAGATGCAATAAATAGTATATCGTATTTCACTCCTAACTTGATTAATTGTTGGCAGACAGTTTTTCAAGTTCGCGCATATTTTGGATGCGCAGTAGAACCGTGACACTGCCCCTTTAATGCTCCAGTTTTCTTTCAATAGGATCACATCTACTTGCGGTCAGTGACAACATCGGTTGTAGATCCTTTGCAGTGGCCGCCAACAAGAAAATACAATTGTATCAATGGCAGCATGTCGAGAGTCGCAAAGTGTCAAGAATTATTAACTATTTCAAACTTATGAAAGAAGTGGTCATTACGGAATCGCCATCTTTGCTTACCCTAGTGGATTGTGGGAGCAAAGGTTATACTCTCTGTGTTGGCTATAGGAATCAGTTTGATTTAATTGACACATCCTCGGGGAAAACGACGAAACTACATGAAATTGATGCTGCATCGCCTAAGGTACAGCATGCGAGGTGTGCATGTGTGTAGCTTTAAGCCAGGATGAAACGAGGATGAGAATGCGAGGTTGCATGAGAGATGGCAGGCACGCGACATTGGTTAGCTGTTCTTAATGCTTTTTCAACACTATCATGTATTTTATTGAAGTTAAAACATAGTCGGAACATTCATGAAACCTTTATTTCAGGTTAATCTAGAGCTTGAAATGTCCCCTGTAGCAATGTGTGACTGTCAACTCTCATCTGTTCGTTCAGTAGTTTTCACCTCAGTATAGAATGTGAGAAGAGTGCTTCTATGTTTTAACTCGGATAACCTTCTGTAGTAACATTGGACCGAGTAAAGCCCTTACTGGACCCAGGGTGCGATAATTCAATATTTTTAGCCGTACCTGACTGGTACTCCGACAACTTTTGCCGCGTACCTGGTCTGGTAAAAACTTAAGAGTCAAGACGTACCTAAGACTACTTTCGAGTCAAGCGTTTTTATACCTATAGTTTACTGGTTCCGGTTTCATATCGCGAAAAAATTAGGGTAGGTAGGTCGGAAATAAAAAATTTTTTTGAATATTTTTTTCATGGTTTGGCATTATCGGCGTTTGACGATAACGATTTTAAAATCGCTCACCCAAGCGATTTTTTTTCAGTCGGACGATGACGATAAATTTTTTGATCAAGCGCAAAGATAACCTTTTGGCTTTTTCATCCCAAAATATGTCGGATGCGTGGAATTTACATGTACAGCTAAAGTTCTTCACGGTTTTGAATACTTTGGCAGGTCTGCTAGTTATTGCTAGAAGGAAAATGTAAGTACGCGAATCGCAAATTTCCGCGTACCTACGTGGTACTTGCCTAAAAACAAAGAAGTACCAGTCCATAAATTTGGCGTACCTCCGGTACGTTGGTACGCGAATTATCGCACCCTGCTGGACCTCTAGGGGGGACAATTTAGAGCAGATAGAACTATCCAGTCCAATCAAAGTCACTTTACTTACTTTATTTTGGCCGTTGAACAAATTCTGTTAAAAATAATACATGATTTCCTCTTTGTTTAGAATAAATCAAATTTATTATCAGCCATAGACGTTTATGAAGAAGACGGTCCCTCACTGCTTTTATCCTATAGTCGTAAGTATTCCTAAATATGCCAACATTTTCTGTGTATGCAAAACAACCTGGAGTAATAATATTTTAGTAAGAGTGGCGCAGTTTTCAGAGCACGCGCCTTCCACCTCTGAGTTCGTGGGTTCGAGTCTCGTTACGGACTCATGTGAAAAGAGTCAGTTAACGCTCTGCCGAAAGTCGTGGGTTTTCTCTGGGCGCCCCAGTTTCCTCCCACAGAGAAAGTTGGCAGGGTGGGTTAGGATAAACATAGTTAAGAATGTAATATCACAATGGACCATTTGCATTATAGACTAAATTTTGATCTAGACAAAAATTTCATCACAGCTTGAAAGAGCATCACAAAATTACTAATATTCCAAAGTTTCGTTGCGAAATGTTGTAAAATGCGGATAATATAGCCTTGCGAAATTTGCAATTTTCAGTCATTTTGTATTACAAATTGGAAATTGATGCCCCGACACCCGATTGGGCTGTCAATTTCCCGTGCGTAATACAAAATGACTAGTGAAAAACGGCAAACTTCGCAAGGCTATATTATCCGCATTTTACAACATTTCGCAACGAAACTTCGGAATATTACTAATTTCGGAATATTAGTAATTTTGTGATGCTCTTTCAAGCTGATGAAATTTTTGTCTAGATCAAAATTTAGTCTATAATGCAAATGGTCCATTGTTGTAAAGATAAAATAGTCCAGGCTAAGTATGTAATTAGGTATTAAAGCGTAATACTTGATGTAAAGCGCATTTAATCCACATCTAAATTTGAGCTATAGAAATCTTAATCCATGTTAATCCATGTTAATCCATTCTAGATACGTCCTTTTTTAAACTTCTAAATGGCGAGAATGTCTCCAATTTTAATTTTCAATGGAACTCTACGCCTCAAAGTATTGGTAAGTGTTTAGTCATTAAAATACGCCAGGAGTGGATTGATTTGACCCGTAGGAGGGGGGGGGGGGCAGAGCAGGGTGCGGCTCCCAGCCTCCCACATCTCATCCCAAACTAAATCCATCCTTGAGATGTCCCCTTTTGTCTGTCATGGTATCTTCACGTAATTTTCACTTTCATTCTTTTCTAACGCAGTCTACGTGTTTCCATACATTTTGGCATTCACTCGGAATACCATTGAAATTCGGTTGGTCGTGAATGGTACATTAGTTCATACGCTGGTTTTGCCGAAAGTTCATCTTATTTCTGCCAAGGTAAGCCGTGCTTTTGTTACTGTCGATGCAATAGAAGTGTTGATATAATATTGCATCAATTCATTTCCTCAAGTTGATCAATTCATATGAATTCAAATTTCTTTTTACTTCCTGTGCGTTTCCTATTGGTCAATCGGTTCTGAAACGAAATCTAATTGGCTCATGTAGAAGTAACAGGAAGTTGATCAATTTTCTATCAAATGAATTGATCAACTTGAGGAAGGAATTAGTGCAATATTTTATCGACACTTCTATTGCATCGACAGTAACAGTTGAAAGTCAATGTTCTCTTTGCATAACACTTTGATCAGAATGTTCCATTGTCTTTTCATTGTTTTGAAAATCCCACTGTTCTCCATGCCATCCAGTCACGATTCAGTGATCAGAATGTTCCATAATCTTTTCGTTGTTTTTGAAAATCTCACTGTTCTCCATGCCATCCAGTCATGATCCAGTGATCAGAATGTTCCATAATATTTTCATTGTTTTTGAAAATCCCACTGTTCTCCATGCCATCCAGTCATGATCCAGTGATCAGAATGTTCCACAATATTTTCATTGTTTTTGAAAATCCCACTGTTCTCCATGCCATCCAGTCATGATCCAGTGATCAGAATGTTCCATAATATTTTCATTGTTTTTGAAAATCCCACTGTTCTCCATGCCATCCAGTCATGATCCAGTGATCAGAATGTTCCATTGTCTTTTATTGTTTTGAAAATCCCACTGTTCTCCATGCCATCCAGTCATGATTCAGTGATCAGAATGTTCCATTGTCTTTTCATTGTTTTGAAAATCCCACTGTTCTCCATGCCATCCAGTCATGATCCAGTGATCAGAATGTTCCATAATATTTTCATTGTTTTGAAAATCCCACTGTTCTCCATGCCATCCAGTCATGATCCAGTGATCAGAATGTTCCATAATATTTTCATTGTTTTTGAAAATCCCACTGTTCTCCATGCCATCCAGTCATGATCCAGTGATCAGAATGTTCCATAATATTTTCATTGTTTTTGAAAATCTCACTGTTCTCCATGCCATCCAGTCATGATCCAGTGATCGGAATGTTCCATAATCTTTTCATTGTTTTGAAATCCCACTGTTCTCCATGCCATCCAGTCACGATTCAGTGATCAGAATGTTCCATAATCTTTTCATTGTTTTGAAAATCCCACTGTTCTCCATGCCATCCAGTCACGATTCAGTGATCAGAATGTTCCATAATCTTTTCATTGTTTTGAAAATCCCACTGTTCTCCATGCCATCCAGTCATGATCCAGTAATCAGAATGTTTCATTGTCTTTTCATTGTTTTGAAAATCCCACTGTTCTCCATGCCATCCAGTCACGATTCAGTGATCGGAATGTTCCATTGTCCTTTCATTGTTTTGAAAATCCCACTGTTCTCCATGCAATCCAGTCATGATCCAGTGATCAGAATGTTCCATTGTCTTTTCATTGTTTTGAAAATCCCACTATCCTCCATGCCATCCAGTCATGATCCAGTGATCAGAATGTTCCATTGTCTTTTCATTGTTTTGAAAATCCCACTATCCTCCATGCCATCCAGTCACGATTCAGTGATCAGAATGTTCCATAATCTTTTCATTGTTTTTGAAAATCTCACTGTTCTCCATGCCATCCAGTCATGATCCAGTGATCGGAATGTTCCATAATCTTTTCATTGTTTTTGAAAATCCCACTGTTCTCCATGCCATCCAGTGATGATCCAGTGATCAGTATGTTCCATTGTTTTTGAGAATCCCACTGTTCTCCATGCCATCTAATCGTATTCCGATGCAGGCGTTCTGCCCACTCTGGTCCAGTTACCAAGAACTAGAGTAGCTCAGTGTCCAGAGTGGGACCACAGCTGTCAGCTTCGGCCATAGTTGCATTCTTCGCTCAAAGTTTCCAGCCATAAAAATACGCTTAACATCGTGTTTTGCCGAGAGAGATGCGCAAAAATTTAGTATTAATATTTCATGATGTCTTTTCAGGATGATATATACTTCGCTTCGTCGCAATCAGAGAATCAAAACAACTTAACGGACTTTAAAAGAAGACACGCAAATGTCAAGTACAGAAACACGCAACAAACTCACGCCTCGACGACATCGGAGCAACAGATACGTATTTACAAAATGTCTTTGAACTCTATTCAAAAACTGAGTCTTGATCGCTCGCCTAAAGAACGATTACCGAATGTAAGGACTCCTTTAAGTCCATTTAATGAGGTCTCGTTTGATTTCCCTACTCCGAAGCCGACCCACGACAGCGATTCGAGTTACGAGGAGGCTCGCGAAAGTCAACAAGCAAAGACAAGCGTCTCAACGCTTAATCTAAATAGACCTTATTCTTGGGCTGTGCTCGAAGACACGTCAAAGAAACTTGATAACGAGTTTCGGGAGCTAATAGAATGCCATCAAGGGGAAATTAATTGTATATAAATTTTAATATATGTTTAGTTATATAGGAATGGTCGATCCAGTCCTAGGACTTAATCAAAATTTTATCCAGTCCTAGGACTTGATCAAACTTCATCCAGTCCTAGGACTTGATCAAACTTCATCCAGTCTTAGGATTTGATCCAACTTCATTCAGACCTAAGACTTGATCAAACTTCATCCAGTCCTAAGACTTGATCAAACTTCATCCATTCCTAGGACTTGATCCAACTTCATCCAGTCCTAAGACTTGATCAAACTTCATTCAGTCCGAAGACTTGATCAAACAGTATTTAGTCCTAGGACTTGATCAAACTCCATTTAGTCCTAAGACTTGATCAAACCACAGATCAAACTTCATCCAGTCTTAGGACTTGATCCAACTTCATCCAGTCCTAAGACTTGATCAAACTTCATCCAGTCCTAGGACTTGATCAAAACTTCATCCGGACCTAAGATTTGATCAAACTTCATTTAGTCCTAAGACTTGATCAAACCACAGATCAAACTTCATCCAGTCTTAGGACTTGATCAAAACTTCACGAAATCGACCATTCCTATATAAAATTGTAATATTTCCACATTCTACGAATGAAAGAAGGCATGCACAGTGTGGGTAATAATATAATTATGATAATTTAATGTTGCCTTTTTCACAAAGGAATATAAGTAGAAATTATTTTTGAGAAATGTAATGACTACGGTCCAAATATGTTTTAAGAAATAATGTAAAAGCTGAATTTTACGTTGTAAATAGTATTTGAGATACGAGATTGTAGTATAATCAAATAGGATGTAAAAATAGTCAATCCCAAACTAAAAAGGGAATACCAAATGAAAAATGGCTAATTTAATTTGTACATTACACATTGCAAAAGTGGGTAGATATTTCATGCATTTTAGAAACGTTTTATGATAATCTGAAAAACACAGATTTGGTTTATTTCATGTCATATAGATGAAAAACATTAAGAGCCTCCCCTCCCCCCAGTGTCTCTTCAGTTTTGAGAGAATTACAAAATTGTTCCTGAAGAAAAATGGGGGGGGGGTCCGGACCCCTCTTCGCTCGAGACTGAGATACAGAATTTATTGTATACCGTCTTAATGTAAGCAAAGACCAGGGTATATACAGTATCATGGAACTTCAAATCTTCAAAGACATAGCCATGTTACATGTCAAACTAATAAGTAAAATACAGAGAAAACAGGTTGTTACATTATACTACACTCGTCCACCTGTGCACAGAAGCAGTGGGTTGTCCAAATTACAACTTGCATCGACGGTAATTATTCTTTGCAAATCTCTTGTTATGCATCAAATATCACAATAATCACACCCATTTATCAATGCAAATTTGAGGAACACTTCACACACCAAATACTTGATCATATTCTGATGGTGTTATCTTGCATATGTATATGAATATGAGTAGAAATTCTTGGTAGGTACTTGGCATAACAAACTTATAAATTCACATATTTTTAAGCAGCCCTGATTATTTACAAAAAGGTTAACAGTTTATTGTGCTTATACAAACATATTATAAACGCTTGACCGCTCTCTTCTCGAAGCAAAGACAAAAGGGTTACGACTTTGTTATGGTAATTTTATTCAAAAGAGCTCACATACTTCAAGAAGCTGCTTGTATCAACAAGTTTGTCTGAACTCCTGAATAGTGCTTGCCATAGCCAGCAGAGACCACAGGAATTGCTCGAAGTCAAGGCAAAATGCCCCAAGAAAACTTGGCTGAGACTGAAAAAGTCGGTAAGGAAATGATAAATTAGCTAAATTTGTTGCCTGTTGGTATTCTGCAACTCGTAGTCTGTATTCAAGGGTGTATACTTATGTATACGCTTTTGAATTGTGTAGTGTATAACTGTATATGTTCAAATATGAGAGTTTTTCTATGATTAAACTAACTAGATAAATCGTCCATGTTTAGCCCGAGGTTCTGAGTTCTCTTGTGAAAGAGTAACTTTATGAAATGGGTCAGAATGATTATGAAAAGGATGAGTGTTTATTTATGCTTCGCTGAACCGGTCTACTGCACACACTGTGGGGCGTTTATTAATATTTGCTCTTGCCAGTAAAACTGTAAGAGTTTAAACAAAATTTGATGTAGGCTGCAGGCGAAAACTGACGGAAATATATCTGGCAAAATTTGCACTGTTGAAAATCTGTGCTTCACAAACATTGACAAAATAAACTCGTGGTGTTTTCCGCAAAACAAATCAATTAAGTTATTTTATCGTCACAACTACAGATGAACGATCAATATTAATGCTCAAAGAGAAGACCTAAGCCTCAAAGCTCGAAGTTCAAAAGCAGTCGAAAAAGCAGTTCACTTTTTCTATGTGTCTATGGTCAATTTGCCGGATTCCTCGAATTTGAATGGTTAAAATTAAAGTAATTAACCATGATTTAGACCGTCTTCTGACCCAAAGTCATGCAAAGTGTAACGTATGTACTAAACCGTGACAATAGCTGAAATGTCTTGATAAAATTTCACCATTGCCTATTACCACTGACTATGGAAAAATTCAACCCATATCTATGGTTTACATTATCGAAATTTTATTGACCAAAGAAGTCCAACCGAAATGCTTTGTGTAAACATACAGGAAGCAATACTCTAGCTTGTGTGGACCATACCTAATTTTAGTGTGCAGTGATAACCAATTTGTGCAGTGATAAAAGTAAAATGTGCAGTGATAAAATGTAAAATGGGCAGTGATAAAATTTGCTTTGATAAGTTGTTAATTAACACAAGAGAATGATTCAATTGAATTTGAAATGATGACTGCCAAATTATCGAATTAAATAAGAGTATATGTTTTTTGTACGAAAATCATGAGATTCAGGCAATTTTTAGTTAATATCTGGCTTTTGGTATGTCCGGAAAAAATTTTTGACCCTTAAAATGGTACACTGACCAAAATTTTTTTGGCGACGGGGGGGGGGGAGGAGGTCGCCAAAAATTTCCGAATATTCTGAAATTTTCTTAGTCATTCGGAAATTTTTGGCATAAAATGTGCAGTGATAAAAAATTCTTAAAATTAGGTATGGTGTGGACCCAAAGCACCCTTTTGGCGAATCAATCGTTGCCTTTTATTAATAGAACTAGCAAAATCTTTAGTAACAAGAAACGTGTCCCTGAAAGGCTAAAAACGTACAATTTCCTTGTTTTTGAAGAAATAGAAAGTACAAGAGGCGTGTAATCAAACACCACATGACCCCTGGCCTCTGTTTATCTTCTTCACTGATACATGGGCAGTGTCTCATTCTGAAGAACATTCACTGAAACCGTTCTAAATAACGTTATTTAGCTCCGATGGAGTTTGAAGAGAAAGGCGAGAAGACAGAGCTAGTTGGTATGATGCGGAAATTATATTATTATAGCATTAGAAGATAATATTCGCCATTTCCTTGGATATTTAGCATTACTATAGAATATCACGAGGTTGTCTCGTGTAGTTCAATATGGATTTGAAGCGTGCTTTTCTCGAGTTCCCTCGCTTATTCAATAGCTCAATTGCTGGGGGGTCAACTTCAGGGGTATTGATACTTTTACGAGCAATAAAACTAAACTACATTTCTCAATTCTATTTATTTGCCACCAAAAAAGAATGAACATGATTTCTCAGTTAGTGCGCAGTGCAATCAACCTTGTTAGGCAAGCTCTGATTCGCTATTTGACACGTTTGTACTTGAGATTCAAGGCTTGTCATCCCGGATCATTTATCTTAGTCCATAGTTAATATATTAACTATGCTTAGTCTTAGACTTTATAGACTTAGTGAAAACACAAGATGATTAGATGAACTGTCCAACTATAGCTAGAATGGCGTGAACTGTTCTGACAGCAGTACGTTCTTGGAGCAAATCATGCCTGATATCTTCATAGAGACAGTGCTATAGAAGATATTATATTGGTATTTCAAACATTCCATGTTTCTCCTTCGTATCTTGGCGTGTCGCATTTGTGGAATTCGTTGCCAAATAATCCAGTATCAAGTTACATATCAACTAACTCGCCTTAACCACTTCGTTGGCTTAGATTGGGAAGAAACGTCTTTATATATAGATTTTGTTATGTACAAGTCACTATATCCATGCCAATAACCAAATATTTTACATGCGTGAAACCGCATATATGAATATTAAATGATATGCAAATACACTGCACTACGCGCTATTAAATTGGCAAGTAAACATAAAAAATACATAGAATTTGCATTCGTTCTTTCTGAGCGAAATTTTCCTTTCTGAAAATGGCCAACGATGAAGAAGGTAAGTATCTAGTTAATGTTTGTTTTTTGGATATAAATGTTGGGATAAACTGTACTTTAGCGCTGGCAAACATTCATGGCGTAGTGTTTTAAACTGCAACGATGCATCGTTGTGCATTATTGTACCAAAATAGTGTAGTTTCTTCACAAAGGATGGACTCAGTTTGTACATATTCGTTAATATATATAAAGTTTAAATTCTTCGAAGAAAAATTTTGAGTTCATGGGAGTTAATTTTAAGTAAATGTGAAAATATTCGAACGAATTGTCGCAAATCAAATTTCAAAAATATTATAATTGCAACAAAAATTTTGAAGATGCTGTATCAAATAAGTATTTCTTCATGAAATATATCATCCCTTTTGCATTGAGTTCATTCATGTTATTTTAAAGCTAGGGTACTGAACAAACATCAGTACATTAAAGAATAATATTTCGTGCATGTGCTAAAAATTTTCAAAACATAGTTATTTGACACCTTCTTAATTTCGTATTGGCCTCAGTAGTTCTATGCTAGCAGGGTACAGTAGTTCAAAAACAATACATTAATCATTTTTATTTGAGATTCGTTGAGGAAATTTTCCATTATTTTTTACTGGTCAGGGGGAACTGTTTCAATGCAATAAACTTTGAAGCTGTTTTTGGTTATACGAAACGTTTGAAATGCTTTCGAAAGTTATCTTCAAGTCTAAGAGTCTTTCATCATTATCCAAATTGAAGACAATTTTTTTAAACTTATGCTCAGTGGCTGTATATATGCTGGGTACCAGTGGCTGAATCACCTGAATGCATGGACACTGTATTATTACTGTACTGTCTGTACAATGTCAATGAGTACATTTTTAATAGTTTAAAACCAGAGCGGTTTTTTCAATATATCAAAGGTCGAGACCTTTTGAATTGAGCGCCGTCAAGCACATCCAATGCATGGTAAGGTTCATTTGAAAGTAAAATGATATTGAATGTTGGCCAAAGACTAAGTTGAATTGAATTGAAGAAGGAAATTCTTTCTTTTTTATAATGAGCATTAATTATTAGCATCGTTCAGAAAGATTCCGGTTGTTTTACAATCGAGGAGGATTCGCGTTCCTCAAATTGGGCATATTCATAAGTTTGTAACATAACCAAGGACAAGGCATAGCAATCCTGGACAAAACATGTGCGACACTACCATTGCCGGACACTACCAATTGTTTGACCACTATGTCTATGGTTCGACCCAACGTCCGTAGTATCATAGATTATAGATTATACCAGATGTCTCACTCAGCCAAAATTGTGTCCGCGATTTTTTATGAGCACGAATTGGCCGCCATTTTGGCAGTAAGTGTAATCCACGCCATGAAACGTGAGCAATCACGCCTTTTGGCAGTAAGCGCCATTTTGGCAGTAAGTGTCGCGCGTCATCTGGCGTGATAGCCTTGCGAAAATCGCGGACACGAAAATCATAGAGATAGATACACAGTGAGACATCTGGTATGATCTATAATCTATGGTAGTATTGTCGCAAATTTAGCCCCCCCCCCCCTCCCCCTCCAGAATACGGTCAATTTAACGGCCAACATTGTTTTGGGGTGGATAACGAGTACCAAGCACAGATATCTTACCAAGATGTTGAAATTGAATAATACTGAAACAACGTCACAATAGAGTGTCGCTGACGGTTTAAGCCAAGGCTTGTACGTCATTGCGGAATGACAATGCGTACGTGAATCTATCAAAAATATTTACATGGATATCATGTGCTACCCTCAACTCACTCTGATTTAAGTAAATGAATATAATACATCCCTGGACAAATGACATTCACGACTCAGTATTTCGACACTCGTGAGTTTGCTTAGAAAATATGCATTTTATCTACCTGAACTAGAAAAGCGAAACAAGCGTCCCAAAATTATTTGGATCTGCATAATTATAAAATTCAAAAGTCGGAAGTACACATGAAGTCTCCCGGAGTGTATATATTATACCGTCTGATAGCTGGCAAGTTAGGTTTTTTACTCGGGTCAAAGCTTTCCTTGAGGTAACTTTGAACCGCCAATTGCCGCTAAAATGTCTGTGAATGGAGATAAAGAACCGGTATTGCCTTCCTCTGGTTAGTAATTGAAATGAATTGTACGAGATTTATGCTTTCGCTTTGGCCTTCGTGTTTACCGCGTTGCTTCGTTGCACAAGTGATTGCTGGGTTTCACTGTGTGTGAGCTTTGCGAAGCCCAACGCGGCCGATGGTAGAAATGTTGACACTGATATGAGCAGGAGCATTAAACTACACCTCTATTTACCAATGGCTTGTTGGGAAACCGCTCACCAATGAGTGAAAAAACTCTATAAACAAATGCAACTTTACCGAAGACTACTACAACACATGATGAGAATTGAAAGCACTCATCTCACTTCGATATCTGTCGTCATCACTTCGATGTCCACCAACAGGCATGAATGGTTTTTTATCGAGTTCTAGCGGGTAAAAGAGCGAGATTTATAAACTTTTAAGTTGTATGGTTTTCTCTTTCCTTCTAGATGGCAAAGCTCGGCATTTCGATCCCGATTTCAAAGGACCTGTTAAAGATAGGTATGTTTGTATATTGCACTTTCGCTTTGAAGTCAGTTGATGATGCATGAACGCACTAACTATAGACAGGTTCAAATTTGACTGCCGCTACCTCGGTTCCACTGGTTCAATACGCATTTGATTGGTTAATCGAGCAGATCGAACGCGTCTGATTGGTTAATGGCATAGCGATGGTGGAAGCACAGAATACAAATCTAATATGACTTAGAAGCTTTCATTTGCACCTTCAGTTTACGACGTTTACCGACAGTCGGCGTAAGATTGCACTCCATTGCACTAATAGTTTTCTTGGCATAAATATCATGTATTTGTTATTGATAGTTGGTAATTGCATGTATTTTAATTGTTTTGAAGGAACTCATTAGGGAATAGGTCAATAGGATTAGTTGTAACATAGTCAATTGTTTCCATATGGTCGTAACGGTCGTAAAGATTGAGTCACGATCTTTCTCATCAGCCGAAATACAACATTTTAGAACTAAAAATACGCGGAGTGATTATAACTAGAGAATACTTATGATTTATACGTGGTTTACAGGTATAAACTGTTCTAAACTGGCGCCGTTGAGAAAGATCGTCTCTCTATTTTTACGACCATATAAAAACCAGGCTTTAGGAAACTCGATGCAGACATCATTCTCTATGTTTTTGTCTTGATTTATGCAAGAAATGGTCGGTTCATCGTCATGTGTGTATTGTATTTTCGCTAGAGCAACCATAGCTATGTTTTCATTTAACCATTGTGTAATATCACGACTGAGTAATTAAACCAACACGCTGCAGGCTATTGGTTGGTGGGGCGAAAAAAACACCCACACGTTTAAACGTCGAATTTCGATCGCGTCGAATGCAATTCAAACAATAAATAATGAAGCTTAATGAAGTTTATCATCTCATTATCTATTGTCTTAATTGCATTCGACGCGACCAAAATTCGACGGATAAAACAGGCCTTATACGTTCTTATTCTATTGACGATGTCTATGGTTCTAATGAATGTTAATTAACTGAATTACTAGAAACAATACGCGAAAATTAATAGTGTGGACATGTGCTGCTGCAAACACAAGTTTTATTAAATTCTGTTTTAGTTGTTCAGTTTTCTCTGTATATGTTTCCTTCGCAGTACCCGTCTGATTTGTGCTGTTTTATACGTACATTGATTTATATGTGGTTTAATTTCCATATGTATATTTAAACTTCTTCGATTCTGGTTTTGTGTAGATCTTGCACTGATATCCCATGTTGTTTGATCTTTACATTATATTTGATTGGGATGGTTATTGTGGGGATAATTGGTAAGTTCTGGCTAATAGTGACTGATATGGTGGTGTGATGGTGAATGGTGATGATGATGGTGAATGGTGGTGATGGTGATGATGGTAGTGATGGTGATGATGGTAGTGATGGTGATGATGGTAGTGATGATGGTGATGATGATGATGATGGTGATGATGATGGTGATGATGATGATGATGGTGGTGATGGTGATGGTGGTGATGGTGGTGATGGTGATGGTAATGGTGGTGATGGTGAATGGTGATGATGATGGTAATGGTGGTGATGGTGAATGGTGATGATGATGGTAATGGTGGTGATGGTGAATGGTGATAATGATGGTGAATGGTGATGATGGTGATGATGGTAGTGATGGTAGTGATGGTGATGATGGTAGTGATGGTGATGATGGTGGTGATGGTGATGATGGTGATGATGGTGATGATGGTGGTGATGGTGAATGGTGATCATGGTGGTGATCATGGTGGTGGTAGTCATGATGGTGTTGATCATGGTGGTAATGATGGTGTTTGTATACATTACCAAACAATACAGTAAAACCCCGCGTATAAGAACCTAGATTTTTTAAGTTAGCCTAAACAGGTTCTTACATAAATGGTGCTTATCATGAAATTAGGCTATAGGTTCTTATTTTCTAAAGAAAAAGTGACTCGTTAGTTGGTGTAGAAAAAATTTATATAAATTATGCCCATATGAAGAGAAGAGTTTGTTTTTTTTTATTTATAAATTTTAGTTTGACTATTAGAATGAAAAAAATAAAATAAGAACCTGTTTGAAATTTTAGCCTAAAAAGGTTCTTATATAAAGTGGGTCTAAATAAGCAATTTTAGCCTAACAGGTTCTTAAACGCTAGGCTCTTATACGCGGGGTTTTACTGTACTCCAATCTTAGCTACCATTGTTTTGAAGATTTTGTTTGAAGAAACAAAATCTTCAGCCTTATCTGTAATTTATTGCGTTTTTCTCCCATCAGCTTTCAAAGAGGGTGATCTGGATAGACTAATTTACCCCAAGGATTCTAAAGGTATAATTTTTTCAAACTGAAACCAGTTAGTTGGCACTAACTTATTTGGTACTCTTAAACAATAGTCTATATTCAACATTTTATTTTGATATTTTATAGGCAATACTTGTGGCAAGGATTTTGCGTAAGTGTTCAATATGCATATAAGTTGCATATCTACAAAAGAAAAATTACTAATATCCAACTGTTGATTCTCACTGAATTATGTGATGTCCTTAGCAAAGTTCTGTGTTCCATTGGCTTCTATAAACCTTGATGCTTGTGTTTCTCCAGGGATAGGAAATACTTGTTCTTCTTTGACCTGACGCAGTGTGTGAAGAGAACGTCTTTGAATGATCTAAGCAGTCTCTCGTGTCCTACACCTCAGGTTTGTATCGTATCCTCCTATAAATTAAATTCTTAACCCACACAAGCAGTCAGGGCATTTTGTAAGAAATTACAACTACTGGGGCTTAGTCTCAATGAGGGCCTTTCCCCCTCAGTTTGTACGGGTACATAAAAATCACTCTGTGCTCAGGGGCAGCCCCAGCGCTATTTGAATAGGGGCATGGATGGGTGTAAGTGAAATATTGTCTACTAATTTCTAACGCTAATTAGTTTCTTTTCATCCAATTGGGATCAGATAAACTAGTTTCATATTAATCTGACACTGCAATCGAGCAACGGAAAATCCGTTGGCTCGAGCGGGATTTGAACTCGCATCTTCGGGTATCTAGACCGCCGCTCTACCTATTGAGCTATCGAGTCAACAGGGATTGGTAGCGAGTCTTATCCAATTTAAGTGCACGAAATATTTTCGTGACGACTTAACGCTTGTCTAGAAGACGCGCAGTGTTTCAATTCTATTTCAGAAGCATCCTCAAGAGATACGAAAAACTAGTTTCATATTAATTTTTCGTTGCTCGATTGCAGTGTCAGATTAATATGAAACTAGTTTTTCGTACCTCTGAGGATGGTTCGGAAATGAGATTAGATAATTTGCCGACCACTTGACGATTGGGGGTGTTCCACACCCACAACCCACTTTTAGCACCGCCCCTGCCTGTGCTGACTTTTATAAGACGGAATGTCGAGTATGAGAAAGCAGGCAGATGCAGCTTTTTCAACAAGGTTAACCTTTTACTATAATTACCAAAAGGGCCCGGTTCATCTGAAATCACGCTTCACTACTGGAGCAGGCAAAGGGCTTACTGGGGTAAATGACCCAGTAGTGAGTATATAGTTAAAAAATGCCCAACAAGCAGTGGAATGACTTGCTGTGTCTGTTTTAGGTTTGTGTGAAGAAATGTCCGACGTTCACTGCTCTTACGCCTCAACTTGTGCCTGCTGATGAACTGAAAAATGTTGTTTGTTTAGAAGGAGTTACAAAACCCACAGTAAGTGACGATTTTATTTGTTTATTGCTACTTTTAACCAGATGTAAATAGTTGTAGATTTTACACTGTAGAGTTACAAATTTGTAGTGGTTTTAAAACTTAACAGTTACCGGACGCGATTCGACAACGCAGCGCGATTTTTCGATTTTCACTGACCGATAACTTTGATCCTGTTTTTAAAGTTTTTCAAATATTTAGAAGCGCCATAACATTTTAAGTTATTTGGTCTACAGGCATGTTCTTTTAAAATTTCCTTTCTTTGAATGTTATACTAACTTTCAAAAACTGAAATATTGAAGAACATTGCTGGAATTTAGTCCTAAAATTGCTTCATTGCTTCATTTAGTCCTAAAATTACACGCTTTTGTTACATCGAAGCTAGACTACTGCAACTCTCTTCTCTTTGGCTTATCGAAGTACCAAATGAAGAGGTTACAGTATGTTCAAAATACAGCCGCTAGAATTGTTTGTCGGATTGATAAATGTGAACATATCACTCCAATTTTAGTGGATCTGCATTGGTTGCCAGTACATTACCGCATAGTTTTTAAAATTTTATTGTTAGTTTATAAAACAATTAATGGCATGAGTCCTAGGTATCTGTCTGATCTACTACAGTTTCGTAAATCCTCTACATCACTACGATCTGTATTGAATGAACTCTTAAGTCAACCGAGGACTATTACGAAGACATATGGTGATAAAGCTTTTTCCGTTTGTGCACCTAAACGTTGGAATATTTTACCAATGGATATTCGCAAGTCATCTAGTGTTTACGCTTTTAAGAAGTCAGTTAAAACTTCTCTTTTTTCAAAATTTCTTAGTTGCAAATCTTTATTCATGTAGATAACTTTAGGTACCTTACTTTATTTGTATACAGTTGTTTTATTCTTAAATCATGTAAAGCGCCTTGAACAGCTTTGGATTTGTGCGCTATATAAATAAAGTTTATTATTATTATTATTATTATTATTATTATTATTATTATTATTATTATTATTATTATTATTATTATTATTATTATTATTATTATTATTATTATTTAAACGAATGCAAATTACTTGTTGATCTTCCTGGATTTGAAAGCCCCTCGATTATTACGGGTGATGAATACCGTCCTGATTTACTTGTCTCCACTTCAGACAAACACCTCTACGTTGTTGAACTTACCGTAGGCTTTGAATCAAACCTCACAAACAATGTTAACCGCAAGAAAGCTAAATATAAGAACCTAATTAGAGAACTAGATCAAAACTTTACATCTGTTAAATTTATAAATCTTTCAGTCAGTTCGCTAGGGGTGTTTGACAAAGAATGCCATACATTTGTAAAAATGCTAAATGAGTTAGGACTGGATAATCAACACCAACAATACTGTATCAGAAAAATGATATCTATTGCCATCCGATCAACGTACTACATATTTTGCTGTAGAAATAAAGAATGGACAAATTCCGAACTAATGAACATTTAAAGTAACTATTTCTATAAATAATTAAAATTTTTTGTATATAAAACTATAACCATGTATAAGTGATTCAAGTAGTCAATTGTAGGTTACCTCAAGAAGTGAGATTTACAATTGTATATATCTATAAATGTTCTATTAATAAAGTTTTCATCATTATTATTATTATTATTATTATTATTATTATTATTATTATTATTATTATTATTATTATTATTATTATTATTATTATTATTATTATTATTATTATTATTATTATTATTATTATTATTTAGACCAAGGCTGAATACGAGACACTTGCGGGGGATAACAAATGTGCAAAGTATTACGTTGACAGTTCTCCAGGTTTGTGACAGAATTTGAGCTCCATGCATATATCATGCATCTGGGGCGAGAAATTGAATCCAACAAGTGAAGACAATAAACGATGCTGACGCATTCATTTCATATTAAATTTGTTATTTTTCTAGTTCTCTATCGCTGTTTACCAACCACACTGGGTTTGAACAACATAAGCGACACTAATGATTTGAAAAAAAAGCTGAACGAAGGAATTTCGTAAGTCTCCTCGTAGAACTATCCAGCATTGTAGTAACACAGGATTTTTAATCAAAAGTCTTCACATACATACTAATACCACACGCTCACTTTAAAGGCACAGTTCGGCCTTTTGAATGATGGTTTTTAAGGAACAGTTCAGCCTTTTGATTAAGACACATTTCAGCCCTTTTACAGTAATAGACAATTCCCATTATAGACTAATTTTAAAACTTGGCAAGGAGACTCAAATAAATCACCACAGCTAGAAAGAGCATACTAAAAATAGTAAAATTGCAAAATTTGGTTGCGAAATGTTGTAAAATGTGGAAAATATAGCCTTGTAAAGTTCGCAAATTTTGTATACTTTTGTATTGCGTGCGGAAATTCCTACCACATTTAGGCCGAAAATGTCGCACGCGATACAAAAGTATACAAAATTTGCGAACTTTGCAAATATATAGCCATATTTCCCGCATTTTATAACATTTCGCAACCAAACTTTGCAATTTTACTCATTTTAGTATGCTATTTCTAGCTGTGGTAATTTATTTGCATCTCCTTGCCTAGTTTTAAAATTAGTCTATAATGGGAATTGTCTATTGAAAAAATTAACTAGGAAAATCAATTATGTATAATTCAATATCAATAAACTCAATGTTTTTAACAATAAAAATGTTTTAAAATGTAAAAAACATTAGGTTTTCTGATCTTCAATTATGCTTAATTGATTTTCCTATAGTTAGTTTTTTCAATTAAAATGGCTGAAATGCGCCTTAAAAACCATCATTCAAAAGGCTGAACTGTGTCTTTAATTTAACTTTCTTATTACAGAGGCCTCGGAGCTTTAATGAATGCAAAGAGCATTGGTGTAAAGGTACGGTCATAAAACTCTTCAGTTAGGCTTTTGACCAATTTCTTGCACTTAGGCTTTTGACCAAACATAGACTCGTTGTCCATTGATATATACTTGCCCGACGACCCTTCTCTCAATTCTATTTGTTTTCCACCAAATACAACATGAATACAGTATATATAATGAAAAGAATTAATGGGCCGGACCATTAGAAAAGTGATAGGAGGGGGGGGGGAGCAAAAATAAAAATCGAGCAGGGAAAACAGAAAGAAAAAGAGACTTTTCAATGGGGAAAATTCTAAGTTAAAATAAAAAAAAAGGATTATATTTAAATCGACACAAGCAAAAAATTAAAAAAAGTATTCGTACAAGTTGAAAAAGTCTTCCCCCCCCCATCACTTTTCTAATGGTCCGTTCCTAACATGATTTTCTCACTCTGATAACTGCAGGTTGTTGACACCATCTGTTGTACGATAGTGCTTAGTCTAACCTACTTTTAATAAAATATTAAGAGGCAATTTTTTTCAATGTCACGTATTTGCGATGAAAAGTATTCAAAAACCTAAACTCTTTTTGGCGTTCCTTTCAAAATTACTTTGTTTTACCTTTATTCTCTAGTTTATACAGTTAGCTACCTTTTTAAATGCATCCGCCAGTTGAGAAACATAAAATAATAGTTAAAAATTGTCAATTAAAATACAATTATCAATGATGCTTTAAAATTGACGCCATATTTTCAGTCATATAAGCAAAACTTACTGAAATTCAGACATCATTTTCTCTTTGGCGTATCATCTAAAATCTCTTCATTTTAGCATTATTTTCCAGATAAAGCACTAAACATACTTTCTAAGTTTGTTTGCCGATTGAGAAACGTATCGAAAAATAAAAATTTTGAATTTAGTCGTAACCTCGAGTGAGATATTATACGCATTAGTTTTGAGCTCGTGTTACGTAACATACAAAAAAATCTCCTCTTAAAGTAAATTTAATTTGGTTATTTTAGATTTTTGAGGACTTGAAAATGGTGTGGTACTGGATACTTGGGTAAATAAATATGACATATGTCGAAAATTTTATTTATCAAAAAACCTGGCCGCATGTCTGTTTTACGAGTGTGTATATTTTGTGTGACGAAAACGTGATAATGAATTAATGTTCTTTTTATTTTAGCGCGTTTATTTTGTCCATGATTTTGTCACTGATTTGGATTATCATTACGCGGTAAGCGTGTTTCGTGTTTGAGTAGCTCTGCTTGGTGCCCGAGAAAACCCTGCTTCCTAAAGGTCCACACAGACCGAACGCGATTCGGCAACGCGACGCGAATTTTCAGTTTTCAAAAACAAATAAAACCGTCAACGGATAAAAATTTTACAAGATATGCAGACCAAATAACTAAAATTGCTTAAGTGGTTCCAAATATTTGAAAAACATTGAAAAATATTGAAGTTAAATGTCATTGAAAGCTGAAAATTCGCGTCGCGTTGCCAAATCACGTCCAGTCTGTGTATGGGCCTTATGTTTTGCATACGGAACGTAAGCCCGGATGAAACGAGAACGAGAGTTAATGCGAGTTGGCAGTCATGCGACCTTTGTTAGCTGTTCTTAATGCTTTCCCAACACCATCATGTATTCTATTTAAGTTAAAACATAGTTGGAAACTTGGAACACTCATCAAATCTTTGTTTTATTAATCTAGAGCTTAAAATGTCCCCTGTAACACTGCATGACTGGCAACTCTCATCAACTCTCAACTTCGTTTGACCGGGGCTTTGGTATAGCCCTAGTTATCGGAATGTTCCGTTGTTCTTTCATTGTTTTGAGAATTCCCCTTGCTTGAAACACTAAATTGAGTGATTTAGTAATTTTAATGAATATATATTTTGCAGATGGATAGCCTGGCCGATGGTGTGGTTCTCTATTTTAGCGTCTCTGGTACTTCTGATTGTTGGTAAGTGGGAAAGAAATCTTCACTCTTCAGTTTAAGAATCCATTTCATGACATGACTATAGAGACCATTTTACAACAGATGGTAAAATAATGGGCGCGTTTAACGGCCCTATAGAAAAGCCCTGAAAAGGCCCTGAGTGATTCGAAATTCATCCGCGGTCTTGTGGGAACGTTGTCTGGGATACATTACCGCATGAAACATGACTGGAACCTGTCTTCATTGCAGAAGGAATGGGCAATTCCAGCTATTGACTAAGTTTTGATCTGGGCAAGAAGAACAAAATCCATCACCACAGCTAGAAAGAGCATCTTAAAATTAGTAAAACTGCAAAGTTTGGTTGCGAAATGTTGTAAAATGCGGAAAATATAGCCCTGCGAAATTTGCAAATTTTGTATTAATTT